TTCTTGGTTCTTACATAAGTTATTGATTTTTTTCATCCCTTACATAAGTTGTTGATTTTTTTCCTCCATCTGGTTTATGCACTCTAGGACCCTTAATCTGAATTCTTTTTCTGATATGTTGCATGCTTCTGTTTCACTTAGCTGCTTTTCTGGCGAGTCCTCCTCTTCTTTCTTTTGGGGATTTCTTTGTCTACCCATCTTTGATCTCACTGACAGATCTAGATGTTGAGTGGTTCAGTGGCTGTTCCTTGGGTGGCTGTTGCTCCTTGGGCTGCGGTTGCTCCTCAGGCGGTTGTCGTCGTAGTAGTTGCTCCTCAGTTGGCAGCAGCTCCTCTGGTGGGTGCTGTTCACAGCCATGGTGGCTCCTCTGGCTGGTGCGGGGAGGCTTCTCACACAGCTGCTGTTCCTCAGACAGAGGGTGTGCTGATCACAAGGCTGCTGTTCCTTGGATGGGGGCGGGCTACACACGCAGCTGCTGTTCCTTGAACTGGGGCGGACTGCTCACGTGGCTGCTGTTCCTTGAATGGGGGCTGGCTGCACGCTGCTGTAGTTCCTCCGGTGTGGTGGGCTGCTTGTGGGGCTACTGCTCCTTGGACTTGGACAGGTTGATTGCAAGCCTGCTCCTCCTCGAATGGAGGTGGGCTGCTTGCACGGCTGCTGCTCTTTGGACTGGAGTGAGCTGCACGCGCCGCTGCTCCTCCTCTCCAGGTGTCTGGTTATGTGGCTTGCTCTCTAGCACTTTAGCCAGACAGGATAAAATTCACCTTAACAAGACATGACTCAAGGGGAACAAAGCATGAATGTACTCACGACACCGATAACCCCTATATAAGTGACCACCTGAGAAAAGAGAATTAGGGGAGAGAAAAGAGAGTACAAATGATATCTAAGAGAGAGAGAGAAAAAAAGGAAAAAAAAAAGAGAAAAGAAAAAGGAAAACACACACACACACACACACACACACACACACACACGGAGAAAACACCACAGAACCAATAGATAAACCAAACAAATACAAACACCAAACACCCAGTAAAGAGGGTGGGGGCAGAATCTGTAGAGGATGTATTTTCATTGTTACAAATTGAACATAATTAAAGCATAGTGATCAAGCACAAAAACAATATGTAATTATATATTTAATATGTGTTTTCCGATGGTCTTAGGCAACCCCTGTGAAAGGGTCATTCAACCCCCATAGGGGTCGGGACCCCCAGGTTGAGAACCACTGCTCTAGTACCTTTGATTCTGAAGGCACCAAAGTCTAATTCCTAAGCTTTCTAAGGTTCTTTCAAGGTTCCTGGCCTTCTTCTTTTTGGGTTTCTTATCTCCTGCTTCAGATTTTTCTCTTTCCAGGTTATTAAGTCAGTTAAGATTTCTAATTTCCAAACTACTGACTTTTGTCTACTATTTATTTTGTTCTTCTGGGTTTATGTCTTTTTTCTCCTTCATTAGAGAGCAGATTCAGGACAGAGAAGAGGTAAATGCTCTCTGTGTGTTCAAGTTTGTATGTTTAAAAGTTGTATATTTAAATTATTTAGCCCAGCTGATGTTGCTCAGCGGTTGAGCATTGCCCATGTACCAAGAGTTCATCGGTTCAATTTCCAGTCAGGGTGAATGCCCGGGTTGCTGGCTTGATTCTCCAATAGGGGGAGTGCAGGAGTCAGCTGATCAATGATGTTTCTCTCTCATTGATGTTTCTACCTCTCTATCCCTCTTCCTTTCTCCCTAAAAGTCAATACAAATATAAAAAAAATTATTTCAAGTTTGTGACTATTGATTTAAAAAGAAATCTGTGATCTTCATAGCATCTCATTTATGTGTGTGCGTGTGCACACCTTTTTTGGAAATTACTTTTTAAATATCTAGTGATCTAAAGGGATATCTGTGTTGTAGGGTGATGTCTTTTACCTAGTACTTAGAGGGGTGGGTGTCACATTTTCTCCTGGTGGATTGAAGTGTTATTTTAGATGTTGTACCAGATATTCCACAAATAACGACCTGGGGGATCCTGTGCTGCCTGGTTGGGGCCATGTCTGCAAAGTAATTCTGCAGGTTTTGTAAGCTGGGCTGCTCTACAACCAGGCACGCAGTTGAAGACCTGCCTCTTTTTGCACATCTTCATGTTATACTTTTTTTTTTTAATACCTAGAGACCAGACCAAAACAGACAAACTTTGCATTAGGCAGATTCCCTCCTTCCTGTCTCCTTTTATTGAGGGGGTGGGAGTCTCAGTGTGTGCTTCTCTTCTGCCAAATCTACCCCAGAGTCGCCATTAAAACCGAAACCCTGTGTTTCCTTAAGCACCCCAATCTAACCTCCAGTGCATCTCCATTTTAAGATCTTAGTTTTGTTCTTAATCTTACCTTCTTTACTTGAGATCCTTGAGGGTTTTCCTTATTTTTACAACTTAGTGGTGCCTTTAAAGGAATACTTTTTTTTTTAATTCCAGAGAGGAAGGGAGAGGGAGAGAGAAACATCCATGATGAGAGACAATCATGGATCGGGTGCCTCCTGCACGCCTCCTACTGGGGATCGAGCCCACAACCTGGGCATGTGCCCTGACCAGGAATTGAACCTGGGACCCTTAAATCCAAGGGCTGACTCTCTATCCACTGAGCCAAACTGGTCAGGGCTTAAAGGAATACATTTTTAAAACACTTATAATACTTATGTTCTAGATATTCTAAGCATTTACAAATAGTAAGTTATTTAATTCTTCTTAACAATCTTGTAAGCTGATACTGTTAACCTCATTTTTACAACTTGAGGCACAGAGGTTAAGTTTACTGCCCAGGATCATACACTTAATACATTCCACATCATGGTCTGCGTGTGTGTGTGTGTGTGTGTGTGTGTGTGTGTGTGTGTTAGTTACACTGCAGCTTTGGCTGTTCAAGTGGTTTTCTTTCCAGTTAGTATCAAAAATAGTTGAAAACAATTGCTGTGTTTCAATACCCAAAAACCAACTCTTTAACATTCATTGTTTCTCACTGATGCTTTCTTTGCTTTGCTCTCCTGGGACTCTTCTCAGTAACCATTTGTACTGTGTCAGTTTGGAGCCTGTGTATACGATGAAGTCCTTAAATGAAATTTGACATTCCTACCGCCCCACTATGCCATACATCTAAAATCAAAGAGTATTGCAACATGGGCCCAAATACCACATTGCTAACTCCAGATTTCATACCTGACAGAAATGCATGAAATAGAGGCAAACCCTAAGGGTTCATGGTGGTTGATTAATCATTTTCTTCTTTGGAAGCTAAAGGTTCTATACCCTAATGCCATGTCCCATAGTAAGATGTAGAAAGGTGGAGCAATATGCCATTGAAAAATAATAAATTGTAGAATGACAATTGAGCAGGAAGCGGGGGACTGTGAGTGCTGGCGCATTCTCAGGTAGGTTAATTGGAGAAGAGGCTTCTTGTGCAAAGATGAAAGTCTGGACATTGATTTTCATGAAGGGCTCTCTCTGATGTGTGCTTTCAAAAGTCTGATTGCTTATATCCCTCATTGCATGGATGCATGCTGCAGCAAATCCAAATTACACAGCCTCCAGCTGGAATACCATTTCTCACATGTGTACTTCAACCTAATGCTGGACGAGTTCTTGGGGATTATCCAAAACCTAGTGTGGACAGAGAAAGGCAGACCTCTCTCTGACACCTTGTGGCCGATTTAATTTATAATTGAATCACATTTCTAGGGCTCTTCATAGGAAACACTTGAAGTGCCTTCATTTTTCCCTTAAATATGATAGAATCTGTTCACAATGAATGCATAAAGTCCTCCTTGCATGAAAAGTCTCTGCATGTTGAAGTATTCAAGCCTCAGCCTTTTAAAGCATTTGTGCATGTTTATACATTTGATATTTACATTACTCAGCCATGTAGAGATCCCTATTCGTGAGGTTGATTGGCAGATTCTTTCATACTTTACTAATGTGAATTAAATCAAACATAAAATCATTGGAAGTCAAGAAGGTTTGTTGCATTTGAACATTGTTTAAAGGGTTTATAGATGTACCTGGTACACTACTGCCATAGTACTATGATGACTTTTCAAGAGACCACCAGAAAAGCTGTTGATTAAAAAGCAAAGCTAAGTTTATTAGGTCTAAGGGCCCTAAGTAGAAAACACCCCGTTGACACAGCCTTAGTTGTGTCACAGTAGCGAGAGTAGGGAGCGTTGGCTGGGTGATTTTGAGGTAGGTCTTGCAAGGTTGGTAACTCTGGGATTAGGCAATTTATGATGTCATGACTTTGGATTGGTGGATATTAGAGGGCAAGGGTTTTGAGGAAAGTCTTGATGAGTAAACTTGATGATTAACAGACTTATCTTCCAGGAATCTTATCTTCTAGGTAATATTTTTCAGGTATATCCTGAAAGAAGCAGCTAAGTTATTTTTACTGGGACTCAGTGTTTAATGAAAGGACAGAAAATTACACTGGTTTTGTTAAACAAACAAAAAATTCTCATGGCCGAAAGCTTTTCTGAAAGAAAGGGTTTGTTGAGCCAAGTGCCAGCTAGAAAAGGTCTAGGCCCTGGGGCAGGAAGTCTAAATCACCAGCAGCAGGCCAGGTGGAGAAGGCGGACCTGTCACAGTCCTGGAGGTGATGGGCGCTATGTTTTGGGAAAGACAGATGCAAGTTGTTTTGAAAGAATTTACATTGGCTACAGATAAAAGGGTGGGGTGGGAAAGGTGGGGCCAGTCCCGGGGGCGTGCACAGCTGTAAGGAAGAGATGCTGACCACTTGCGATTGGTTGTGGGAAACGGTCCTGAAAGTTCATGCATTCGAATGCTGTAGGGTCTGGTGGTCACTGTAGAAGTTGATGCGAATGCGAGCTGTCTGTTGTGAGTTGGTCCACAGGTCCTGACTGGTTACTTTCACTCTCTTGCTCACTGTATTTTATTAGAACCTCAGAATTTTTCTCTCAGTTTCTGTTCCTAAAAGTAAGACCTGAATTAATTTACATGACTCATGGGTTTTTTCCAGCTTTGCCCGAAGTTTTTACATACCAATTCTACTAGTCACACTTGGCCATTCAGTGCAGTTGCTGAATTAATAGGTATGTAAAATTTTCATATGTAACCTATTACTTGCAATTGAAGTTTTAAAAAAGCTTTTCATTGAAAAATATTACATAAGTGTTCTTTATTAAAAAAAACAAATGTATCTTGAATGATAACACTATGGGTAAAAGTTACCTAGCATGACAGTTAACTCAAATGGATGTCAGATTAGTCAGATTAATCACTGTTCAACTTTCCTATACTATTGTGAAAGTATTTTAATTCACTAAGTTCATAAAGCATTTATGTTGAAAATATTTTTATTCTGATTATAAAATAACTAGATCTATAACAAAAATAGTAATATGTTTTTAATAGTTGGGAAGGATATTTTTCCCAATGATTTTTAGAGAGAGTGGAAGGGTTGGGGAGAGACAGAGAGAGAGAAACTTCAGTGTGAGAGAGGGGGATCAAGCCTGCAACGGAGATATGTGCCCTTGTCTGGAATTTAACCCGAAACCCTTCAGTCATAGGCCAACGCTCTAACTACTGAGCAAAACCAGCTAGGTCTGGTATCATAGTTTTTTAGCAAAAAGAACACCATTTGGGGCCTGTGGTTTTCTTTTTAACTATTGAAAAGAGACACAATTTGAAGAACGTGGCAGAAGGTAAACCTTTATCTGTGCTTAGCAGAAAATGTGTCCCTTCTATATCTACTCTAGTGGTAGCTGACACCAGCTCTTAGCTTCCCTGTGATATATGGCCAGGCTGGTCTTTGGGCAGAAGGCCTTCCCTTGATTATCTCTGTAGGAAGTGATTCCACTTGCTCTCTGAATGGAGGGCTTCAGAAAGAGTTAATTCTGTAATAGCCATGAGCAATATATAGCAGGGTACAATGTTGTAGTTTTATGTTTTTAAATCTCACAAGTTCTTAACATTTCAACTTTTTAAATGTCCTTAAAATATGTTATTCTGTTGCTTGTTAAAAGATTGTTCTGAACTAGTTGCGTTTTTAAAAATGTAAACACAAAATTTCTCAAATTTTGTTTCTCAGATAATGCATACGATCCCGATGTGAATGCTAAACAGATATGGATTGACAAAACAGTGATAAATAGGCACATATGCTTAACGTTCACTGATAATGGGAATGGTATGACTTCAGACAAATTACATAAAATGCTAAGGTATGTGAAAGTGTCACACTTCTTAAAATCATTGCTTTTACCTAGTTCAAGGGTTTCATGTGTTGTATTCTTGCCCATAGTTTTTGTTTTTTAAGAACTCGCAGTGTGCTCTATTCTCTTAAGTTTTCCTTCATTTCTACTGTTAGGTTATTAGGCAATCCCTACCATTTTTCTTATCATTCCCCTCATGTCCGACTTAATCTAGAATTCCACCATTTATAGAGCTATAGCACATTGGTGTCAGTTATTTATACTTTAGTGTAAATTAGTTTTAACCAGTATTTCCAATGAAACTTACCACTTTGGGAAGGGGCGGTAATTTTAAAGGGATCCTTTAGAGGATGAGGAAGCAGCATAAAAGAGTCATGGGCTTTGGGTTCTAGGGTCACAGTATTGGATGTCAGTATGAAGCCCAATGTCCCTGAAATGGAAACGAAAATACCTAGCACAGGTGCAGGGTAGAGGGAGAATTTGGTAGTAGAGGTCTTACTGTTCCTCAAATACTCCTTATGCTGCCAAAAAGTCAAGGCCACCCCATCAGTAACCATACTACCAAGGCTTGGTGAGAACAAGAGAGTCAACCACACCTACAGGAGAGATTTCAGGGGGTGCAATTTCAAGGGCCCAGGGATCCGAATTATAACTTGGCCATTTGCCAGCATGTGCCAGGCCACGTGCTCCTGTTTGGCGTGTGTGATCCTTAAACACCCCTATGATGTAGACTGTGTTTCCTTCATTTCAGAGATCGGAAAACATGCCAAGGCAGATTAGAAGTAACTTGCCCAAGATTATAGATCTAGAAAGGATGAGGCCAGCATACAAAACTAGGCTCTTTACCTATTATAGTTTTTGAATTAAAAACATGAAGATTATCCATATTTATTTTTAAAATCTTTCTTTCTTTTTAGCTTTGGCTTCAGTGACAAAGTCACCGTGAATGGTCATGTCCCAGTTGGATTGTATGGGAATGGTTTCAAGTCAGGTTCTATGCGTTTGGGTAAAGATGCAATTGTTTTTACCAAAAATGGAGAAACCATGAGTGTGGGCCTCTTGTCTCAGACCTACTTGGAAGCCATACAAGCAGAACATGTTGTTGTTCCAATAGTGGCCTTCAACCAACACCATATCCTTTGGATTTTGAAATAGAAGCGATGTAGAAACTCTGAAGAAATAATGTGAACCATTCTATCCTTTTGCCTTCCTCCATTTTCTTCTATTCTAGCTCCTATTCCTGTCCCTGCCTCTACCTTATGTCTGTGGCTAAGTGTTGTCCCTCTGTTCTCTGCGGGAATTTTGCCGTGGAAGTCCTTAGCTGTTAGGCGGTTGCATTTCATGTTGAGCTTCTGTAGCCTTCCTCTTTATTTCAGACTTACTGTGCTCTAATGAGACTTGTGGTCTGGCTTGAAAATTTCACTAATTACCATGACAAATAAGATATCTTTAGGAAAATATCCTCTGTATAACCACATTTCAAATATTGGAACCATTACATTAGTTAGGGGTAATAAACTTGCTCATACTTCATCCTGGGTATTCATTTGAAATTAGACTGCCACTTTAAAACTTAGGAAATAATTTAGGAAGTAGTTTTTCTGTTGTTTGAGTTGGTTTTCATATTGCACTTGTGGAAAATATGTTATTGGTCTTTAACTTAGGATATACGACAGATGATTAATTTAGCGGAATCAGAGGCAAGCCTGGCTGCAATTCTGAAGCATTCTCTGTTTCCCACGGAGCAGAGTTTACTAGCAGAGCTGGATGCTATCATAGGGAAGAAGGGGACGAGGATCATCATTTGGAACCTTAGGAGGTAAGTATAGACCACTGCAAGTTGTTAACCATTGAGGAGGTAAAGTGCACGTGCAGGAGTGATTGTATGACATTCATCCCTGGATTGTACAGAGTAGAAGTGCATTGGAAGGGGCTTATTTTTTGGTTCAGCTCATGATTTCTTTTCCAAGGGTGTTTTATTGAGGCTACTTTAGCTTCAATTTGGAATAGTTTTATATTAAAAATAAATTTCCTAGCCTTGAGGTTTAGTCTCTATAGCACTCTATTCTTACTGTTATTCACCCTCTCCTCAAAACAAACAAATAAATGAGACGATAGAAACCCAGCTATTAAAAGAGAAATCTTTGTCCATTTAATCCATTACTTAAAGCTAAGCATGACTTAGCATCTGGTGAGAAAAAATATTGATGAGACTTGTGTTGCTGAAATTGTAGTTTTTTGTCCTTGTAATGAGAATAAGAACCTTTGCAAATAAAAGTTTTTAAAGGTTAGGATGAATGTGTAATATTGAGATATCTAACACATATTGAACCAGAGGAATAAAGCACAAATAATGGTGAACTAAAATTACGTTAAATCTTGTGCTTTTCTGACCTGTATTCCCTTTTTTTCTTTTTTCTTTCTTTTGCTTCCCTGTACCTCCCACTTTTTTTTTTTTTCATTTTAAACTTTCTTATTTTAAGATGATTGCAATTCATGTTCAATTGTAAGAATAATGACAGATCTCATGCATCACTTACCTAGTTTCCTCCAATGGGAACATCTCGCAAAACTGTAGACACTGTTACAGGCATTATACAAGATATTTTTATTACTACAGGGGTTTCCTCAAGTTGCCCTGTTATGTCCACAGCCGTTCTCTCCTTCATCCTCGGCGACCTAATTCTCCATATCTGTAGCTTTGTCATTTCAAGCATGTTGATAAAAGGAATCATAGTGTGAAACCATTTATTTCTTTCATTCAGCGTAAATCTCTGGAGATTCATGCAGGTTCTTGTGTGGCAGTAGTTTGCTTCCTTTTTCTTGCTGAGTAGTAGCCCATGTGGAGGGAGTACAGGGTGTCTAACCAGGCACCTGTTGAAGGCCATCTGGGTTGTTTACAGTTGTTGGCCATTACAGATAAGCTCTAGACCAGCGGTTCTCAACATGTGAGTTGTGACCCCTCTGGCGGTCGAACGACCCTTTCACAGGGGTCGCCTAAGACCATCCTGCATATCAGATATTTACATGACGATTCATAACAGTAGCAACATTACAGTTATGAAGTACCAACGAAAATAATTTTATGGTTGGGTCACAACATGAGGGACTGTATTTAAAGGGCCAGAAGGTTGGGAACCACTGCTCTAGACCTTCCTGGACAGATTTTTGCGGGAATATAGTCTGCGTTTTCTACAGTGAACGACCAGCAGTGTGTAATTGATGGGTCATAGGGAGTTGCATGTTTAGTTTTTTTGGAAACAGCCAGAATGTTTTTCAAAGTAGCTCCACCATTTGACCTTCCCACTAGCAATGTGTGTGAATAAAGGTTTTATTTATTTTTTCATTTTCTTAGATTCCCTGTCTTTCATTTTATTTCTTGCTCCCCCCCCGCCACTATAGTGCCTACCGTGTATATAGGTGTTTTGTTTTGTTAAGTAGAAGTATTTCCTTGCTTATCTTGTTGTGAAGTTAAAATTTTGTTCCTTCAAAAAATTAATTTTACAGCTATAAAAGTGCAACAGAGTTTGATTTTGAGAAGGATAAATATGACATCAGAATTCCAGAAGATTTAGATGAGATAACAGGGAAGAAAGGGTACAAGAAACAAGAGAGGATGGACCAAATTGCCCCAGAAAGCGACTATTCCCTGAGGGTATGTATCCAGGCCCCATAGAAGTGAGAAAAGCATCCAATAGTGGACAATATGTTGCACACTTGTTACAAATACTACCATTGATCTCTGAATGCAATATCTCAGACATGTGCCAGCATGAGCACACTGGTGGTTTTATTTGCTTATAAATAATTTTTAATTGTGAAGTCATCAGGTCTAACAGTGTTTGTCAGTCTCTCACTATGTAGTTAAATTATTTAAATGGGATATAATGGAATAAGTATCCTATCTAATAAAAGACAAAAAGGGTAATTGACCATACCTTCGCTACACTTCCCATTGGCTAATCAGAGCGATATGCAAATTAACCGCCAACCAAGATGGTGGCCGGCAGCCACGCAGCTGAAGCGAGCAGGAGGCTTGCTTGCTCCAATGATGGAGGAAGCCAAGGTTCCCCACCTGCCGTGGCCCGGCTCTGAGCTCTGAAAGCAACTAAGTTTCAATTATAGAAGCTAGACAAACCCCAGGTACCTGCTTTCAGCCGGCCGTGGCCACGAAGCTGGAGAGGGCTCTTAGCTCCAGTGACGGCAACATAGTTTCAATTATAGAAGCTAAACAGACCCCAGAATAAAAAGAAAAAAAGGAGAGGCTGGGAGCTTCAGTTGCCGGCCAGCCTGAAAACGGCCCTCAGCCCCTCACCCAGACTGGCCAGGCACCCCAGTGGGGACCCCCACCCTAAAAAGGGGTGTGGCCAGCCTGAAAACAGCCATCAGCCCCTCATCTAGGTTGGCCAGGCACCCCAGGGGGGACCCCCACCCTGAAGGGGGTGTGACCAGCTGCAGACAGCCATCAGCCCCTCACCCAGGCTGGCCAGGCACCCAAGCAGGACCCCCCCACCCTGATCTGGGACACCCTTCAGGGCAAACCAGCCGGCCCCCACCCGTGCACCAGGCCTCTATCCTATATAGTAAAAGGGTAATATACAAACTGACCCTAACAGCAGGAAGACTGGGAATGACTGGTCACTATGACACACACTGACCACCAGGGGGTCGACGCTCAATGCAGGAGCTGCCCTCTGGTGGTCAGTGTGCTCCCACATAGGGGAGCTCTGTTCAGCCACAAGCCAGGCTGCCAGCTGCCAGTATAGCGGTGGTGGTGGGAACCTCTCCTGCCTCCTCAGCAGCACTAAGGATGTCCGACTGCAGCTTAGGTCTGTTCCCCGCTGGCAAGTGAACATCCCCCGAGGGCTGCCGGGCTGCCAGAGGGATGTCTGATTGCCATGTTAGGCCCAATCCCCTGGGGAGCGGGCCTAAGCCAGCAGGTGGTCATCCCCCGAGGGGTCCCAGACTGCTAGAGGGCACAGGACTGGCTGAGGGGACCCCTCCCCCCGCCCCCCTCCCCCCGTGCACAAAAATTTGTGCACGGGACCTCTAGTATCCTATAATGGCCATATTGATTAATCAAAAATACAAAATTCAGAGTTTCATTTTTTTAAAATTTAAAATACTCTAGAATACACATCTTAAAGCAATAAATTATGTATAGACCAAAGATAATGTACATTAATATAATTTTGTGATAAATATATCTGAAAAATGATCTGAGAAATGGTTATGTTTTTGAGATTGAGGAAATTAATATCTCAGTATAACAATCCTGTATAATAAAAGCCTAATATGCAAATCGACAGACTGGCGGAACGACCGGCCGCTATGACGCACACTGACCACCAGGGGGAAGACGCTCAATGCAGGAGATGCCCCCAGCCCGTAGACCTCAGCCCGGCTAAGGCGGGTGCTAGCAGGGGCCTCCTGATCGCCTCACTGCACTGGTCACCCTGCAGAGGGAGGTGACTGGCAGGGTGGGCGGAGCTGGGAGCGGGCGGCGCCAGGCCAGCCCAGGTGGGTGCCAGAGGGAACCCCCTGATCGACCCATCATTTTCCCCGAAGATTGGCCCTGATTGCTGGCCAGCCTTAGGGATCCTACCCGTGCACAAATTTCATGCACCGGGCCTCTAGTATATTGATACAGTAAGTTAAAGTTTCTTAGTCACTGTAATAAGATACATCAAACTGTTCCCTTTATTTTTGTGCTGCAATGATTCCATAACTCCAAGCTGAAGGATCCATTGGACGTTTGTGGGGAGTCGAAACCCTATATCGGCTCCCCACAGACGTTTACAAGTTTACCATATAGCTTTTTGTTAATTAAAAGGGCAGCTATTACTATTATTTTCTATACCACAATGTGTTCCTGAAGTATCTCCTAATCGTTAAGAAAATCTTGCTAAAATATGAAGTGTCTAGAGGCAGCCAGAGCAGATGGTGTGGTTTTAGTGCGGTGATTCCCAAAGTGGGCGCTACCGCCCCCTGGTGGGCACTGCAGCGATCCAGGGGGGCAGTGATGGCCACAGGTGCATTTGTTTTAACTTTTTTTGTATTACCTTTCTATTCTGAGTTCAATAAATAGTTTCATAATTTTAAACTTCAATGTTTCTAATTTACACCTTTACTATATTTTACTTAAAAGGTAGAAACATTAATACATATATCTTTCTGTTTAATTGAATAAAAAAAAAATTAATTTCCAGGGGGCGCTGAGTAATATTTTTTCTGGAAAGGGGGTGGTAGGCCAAATAAGTTTGGGAACCACTGTTTTAGTGTATCACGAATACAATGTTTTAAAATATCATTAATGAATTTTACAAATGACAGAACACCACTAATTTTGAAATCAGGTGACGGGAAAAAAGTAAGCCCTGACTGGTGTGGCTCACTTGGAGTGGCATCCTGTGCACTGTTCACCATCCCATTCCTGGTCAGGACACATACCTAGGTGCAGGTTTGATCCCTAGTCGGGGAGAGTATGAGAGGCAACTGATTGGTGTATCTCTCTCACATTGAAGTCTCTCTCTTTCTCTTTGTCCCTCTCTAAAAATCACATTTTAAAAAGAGTAAGAAAAAGTTCAATTTTAGTTTTACGTTGAACCTTTGGTCTGTCCTTGACTTCATTTCTTTTGGAGATTTCTTGTACCTTGGAGGTAGACACACAAGAGCATATTTTAAACATTTTTAGGATGCAAAACTTGTCAAGGTTCTAAAATAAACTTTTATGCATTAAGAATTTAGAACGCATTTAGATGACTACTGATTGTTACAGTCCACTTTATTTTTTATTTTTATTTTTTAAATATTCTTTATTGATTTCAGGGAGAGGGAAGGAGAGACAGAGAGAGTTAGAAACATCAATGATGAGAGAGAATCATTGTTTGGCTGCCTCCTGCATGCCCCCTACTGCCCCCTACTGGGGGTTGAGCCCACAACCTGGGCATGTGCCCTTGACTGGAATTGAACCCGTGACCCTTCAGTCTGCAGGCTGACACTCTATCCACTGAGCCAAACCAGCTGGGCTATAATTCACTTTCGAAAAAGTGCTATGCTTGTCTATTCGGTGTGTTGGTTTATTATTTACAACTAGAGGCCCAATGCACGATATTCATGCATGGGTAGGTTGCCTGGCCGGTGATCTAGGTTGATCTGTGGGGCGATCGCGGGGGGGAAGCCCTGCTGGCACCCACCTTGGCTGGCCTGGGGCCCATGGGCTAGGGCAGGGGTGGGCAAACTTTTTGACTCGAGGGCCACAATGGGTTCTTAAACTGGACTGGAGGGCCGGAACAAAAGCATGGATGGAGTGTTTGTGTGAACTAATATAAATTCAAAGTAAACATCATTACATAAAAGGGTACGGTCTTTTTTTTTTTTTAGTTTTATTCATTTCAAATGGGCCGGATTCGGCCAGCGGGCCGTAGTTTCCCCACGGCTGGGCTAGGGGCAGCTCCTGAGTTGAGCGTCTGCCCCTTGGTGGTCAGTTTGCATCATAGTGATCATCATTCTGTTGTGCGGTTGATTTGCATATTAGGCTTTTATTATATAGGATTTTTCCTTTTCAAACATGGAACTGTCCCTTTCATTATGTTTATTTTTGTCTAAATAAAACTTGTTGTTTTTAAAACTATAGCCATATATGTAGTTGACAGAAGAGTCAGAAAATGTACATGTATACACTTTTAAAAATTGATGTGAGATCATACCATACATCCTGTTTTGTAACTTTTTCACTTAACATATCAACATAGGTCAATAGATTGTTTTCTGCAAATCATTTTTACCGGCTATAATATACTGAGTATTTTTTTTTTTTTTTAAATATATTTTATTGAGTTTTTTTACAGAGAGGAAAGGAGAGAGATAGAGAGTTAGAAACATCGATGAGAGAGAAACATCGACCAGCTGCCTCCTGCACACTCCCCACTGGGGATGTGCCCGCAACCAAGGTACATGCCCTTGACCGGAATCGAACCTGGGACCTTTCAGTCCGCAGGGCGACGCTCTATCCACTGAGCCAAACCGGTTTCGGCTATACTGAGTATTTTTAATGAAAAGTATATATAGTGCATATTATTTTACTGAAGAGTTAATGGTCCTTTAGGAAGTAAGGTGGCAGCTGCTTTTTAAATGCATGTGTAAGTCGTGTTGAACAAATCTGTAGATAATTATTTCAATAAAAACATAGTGTTTGGTGTCTTTTCAGGCTTACTGCAGTATATTATATCTAAAGCCAAGAATGCAGATCATCTTACGTGGACAGAAAGTGAAGACACAACTAGTTTCGAAGAGTCTTGCTTACATTGAACATGATGTTTATCGACCAAAATTTTTAGTATCCTTTGTTTTCCTTTTTATGGTGTCGTATAGAGCTGTTTTAGTTGTGTACTCCCCTACCACTTTTCCTCCTCTTCTCCTGATACTGATTCTGAACTTGTCTAACTGTGCCCTTTTTTTTGTACTTTGGGACTCAATAATTAATGAAATAGAAAGGATGATTCCAAGGGAGGAAGGTGGTGTGTTCAGAATTTTCCTTAACATTTAAGACGAAAACAGTGAAAATTACTTTTGGATTCAACTGCAAAAATAAAGAACATTATGGGATAATGATGTATCATAAAAACAGACTCATCAAAGCTTATGAAAAAGTTGGATATCAGTTAAAGGTAAGCAGGAAATGTCTTTCATAAGTTAGGATAACTTGTTATTGGGTCAGATGTGAAATTGTACACTTTTTGCCTAATGACTTAAATGTCAGTTTTTTAATAGCGTTGGTATGGCTTTTGAACTTAGAATGCTGTGATATTAATTTCTGATTTGATCCTAAGTAATGTTATGAGGGGGACAGAATATTGTGTCTCTGTTTTACAGATGAGGAAACGGGCTAAGTAACATGCCCTAGACCTAACCATGCAGATCTTTTGATGCATTTGGATCTGGACCCCTGCTTACTTCCTGCTGGAATGAAATTGGTTGCTTTTAACTAATGCTGACTCAATAGCCTGAAAATCAGTCTCTGGTAGGTGATTTACTTTTTTGGAGTTAGTTCCTAAATAAAATAGAGCCTTCCTCCTAAGCCATAGCCATTGTAGAGTTCAGTTTAGGGCGATGGACATTGTCCCATGTCGTTCTGTTTATCCTTTACCTGTTTTCACAGAAAGGTGTGTTGTTGTTTTTGGTGTGTGTGTGACTTCAGTGATCAATTCGGAAAATCATTTTTTTAAAAGGTTTTAAGTCTAGACATGTTTTGTTTTCTAATTCTATGACTTTCATTTTCAGTTTCTATTTCATTCTGAATTTTTTGTAAAATTATGTGAACTCTACATAGTATGATAGTATGGGTTTAACTTGAATGTTATTCAATGGGTGTGTCTCTGTATTACATTTTTCATGGCACAAGCTCAGAATTTTTATAAAAGTAAATGAATGTCGGGCTCTTTATATCCACTAAGTTTCTGAATTTTACTGGTAATTGGAAATGCATTTTTGCTAATAGGCCTTAGTTACCAAGTGCTTTGGGATTCAAAAGAAATAATAGTATTTGCCACAGAATGTAAATTCTTTTTATCATTTACCACTTACGAATTTGACTTAAGTAAGAGACATAGCCCTTTTCCCACCCAGTTAAATTTGCATATGTGTAATTTCTGATTATGCTTGACCCTGTACAAAATAAGCTTTAACACCAACTTTTATTTTACTTTATTTCTTTTAAAAAAAATATTTTATTGATTTTTTTTTTTTTTTTTAGGGAGAGGGATAGAGAGTTAGAAACATTGATTAGAGAGAAACATAAATCAGCTGCCTCCTGCACACCCCCTACTGGGGATGTGCCTGCAACCAAGGTACATGCCCTTGACTGGAGTCAAACCTGGGACCCTTTAGTCTGCAGGCTGATGCTCTATCCACTGAGCCAAACCGGTTAGGGCAGCGGTTCTCAACCTGTGGGTCGCGACCCCTTTGGGGGTCGAATGACCTTTTCACAGAGGTCGCCTAAGACCATCCTGCATATCAGATATAGATATTACGATTCATAACAGTAGCAACATTATAGTTATGAAGTAGCAACGAAAATAATTTTATGGTTGGGTCACAACATGAGGAATTGTATTTAAAGGGCCAGAAGGTTGAGAACCACTGGGTTAGGGCTACAACCAACTTTTAATTTTTTTTTATTTTATTTTATTTTTTTTTACCAGATGATGGATTGGACCTAGTATTTGCATTCTGTGGATTTAGTAAACATGATTAAGTAGGTATCAGATAGCGGTATGATTTCCCATGCTGGATCTCAGCATAGAGAGATGATCAGACATGGAAATCAGAGAAGGCTTCTTGGAGAAAGTGGTGGTTGACATGAGTCTCTGTTGACTCCTGTGTTGGAAGTCTGGCAGCAGCTTTCCAAGCAGGGAAAGTATCTTCAAAGGAAGGAAAAAAAGGTTCTGAGACGATGCCATCACTAAGGGAGTAATTTGCTGTGCCTGCATTAGTTGATAAGTGGGAAATAGAGTAATGGGGGAGAGAGGAAGATGAGGCTGGAACTAAGGTGAAACGAACTACAGATTGAAGGGTACTGTGGTTACAAGTGTGGGAGAGTAGGACCACTGATGGTTCTTCATGGAGTAGGATTATGCTTAGATTTATATGGCTTCATCTACAGGGTGGGGCAGTACTAGGTGTACAGTTCATCTGGAAAATAATACAGTAAGTCATAAGTAATTCATAAATAATATAAAAATAAACTGTTTCTTATACTAACAACTATAAACCTACTTTTGTACCACCCTTATTATATTTATGAAAATTTTCATTTTGTAAATTATATTTTCTTTCACTTTGTAAGCGAACTTGGAAGTAAACTACAATCATGCCCGACTGGCATTGCTCAGTGGTTGAGCGTTGACTTATGAACCAGGAGGTCACAGTTCAATTCCCTGTCAGGACACGTGCCTGGGTTGCGGGCTCGATCCCCAGTGGGGGGTTATGCAGGAGGCAGCCAATCAGTGATTCTCTTTCATCACTGATGTTTTTCTCTCTCTCTCCCTCCCTCTCTGAAATCAATAAAAATGTATTAAAAAAAGAAGTAAACTACAATCATGAACAAAATATACTTGATAGTCACACATAGATAATCAGAATATGACTTGTGCTTTGATTTCAGTATTTTAGTTAGAGTAAAAATTAAAAAATAATTTTTACTGATGTAGATTTTTATTTCATTGCCATTAACAACTGCATCTGTAACTTTGGATACATGACTTTTTAATTTTTAAAATGCTAACTTTAAATAAACATATGGAATATTAAGTGCTGGAGCCTTTGCTTAGGCTGTGGATATAGAAATGACTTAGTTGTGGTTTCTACTGTCTAAGCAGTTGCATCCCAGCAGAGGTGGTCTTTTTTCCTTTGTATAAAATTGGGGATGATAACACTTGTCTAAATGAATACTTGACAACAGTGGATATGGTTTTGGAGGAAGGCTCTAATATACATAGGAATTAACTCCCAGAAAAGTGAATTACCTACCTGACAATGTTTTTCAGGCTAAATTTCATGAGATAAAATATAGGAAAATATTTGGTACAAATTATAAATCTTTATGGAGGGTAATTATATTGGGCATCATGTCTTATGCTTAAAATGCCAATTTCATTTTCTTTTCCAGGCAAACAACATGGGTGTTGGAGTAGTGGGAATTATAGAATGTAATTTCCTAAAGCCAACTCATAATAAGCAAGATTTCGACTATACTAATGAGTACAGGTGTGTTACCTATTTAACTTTTTGCCTTTTTATATTGTATTTTGGAAATGCTTTCATAACTTTTTCTTAAGGATTTTTTTATGTCTACGGATGTTTTTACATTGTGGGACATTAAGAAAATGGGTAGGTGAAAGGTTTGCACAGAAGACACATTTAACCATTGTCTTTCATCCTAGAAATTGTGTCCTACAAATAGAAATATATCCTCCCATCTTTACTAATGAAATATTTCTGAGAGTCCCAGGATTTGTGGCCATTAATGTTAGTTGTAAAGTAGGGCAGCACAAACTGTCCTCATAAGCATATGTTCTGGAGTTGGATGCAAATGTCATGGAAATATTGTGGCAAAGACAAATGCCATTGGCCCTCCCCTCAAATAAAGAAAAAAAAATAAAACAGAAAATGGAAGGAAATAATAAAGGTAACAGCAAAATCAGTGAATTAAGAACCACAGATAATATAGAAAATAAATATATCACTCAGAGTTCAATCCTGAGACAGCTAACCCTGCTATCTGAACAGGGGTAACTTAATACAAGGAATTGTTAACTATGTCAACGTAAGACAAGTTCAAACCTAAAGAGAATTTTGGTAAGTTTATTTGAGCCAACTGTGGACAATTACCAGGAAGCAAAATCTCAGGATTGAGAAAATGCTCCAGAGAAGGGCAGTTTTGTACCTTATTTTGTACATTGCACTCTGAGGAGACTGGAGAAAGCAAAGGGGGAGGCGGGGAATGTCTGGGATGGATAACAGGTAGAAGGAATGGACTTGATTCATTTACCTTTGTGGGTGCAGGATAGGTAACAGTCAACAGTTAACACTATAACAGTAACAAGGAGGGCTCTGTGGTCTCTGCTCTGGTGCAGTGATAGTGCCCTGAGGGGTCCAGGAAATAGGAAATTACTTGACATTCCAAAGGTATGTTATCCTATTTACAAAAAGACAATAGACAGGCTCCATTAAGGGTAAAGATCTACCTTTGTCAAGGAAGGTACTGGCCTAGGACATGACTACCTGCCATGACTAGTTTTTATTTGGGACTTTTTAATTTCAGATCTTTCTGTGTGGTTACTTTTGGTGTGTGATTTTATAAGGCTGCCATGCAGGCCTCCCCTGAGCTTTTCAGGTTTAGTGTGTAGCCCCCTTTTTTCGTCCACATCTAGAACAGTAGAAGGTGATTTCTAAAAGGGGTAAAAGATAAAAAAAGAAGAACTGAAAGCCTCTAGGTTGAAAAAGAGGAAACAGTCAAGGAACTAGGAGAAGGCCCCCACCCCCTGAAGCCAGAGGTTCTGATCTCTCTGTAGAGGTCATGAGAAACATCGCAACCAGCCGCCTGCTTGACCAGTGCTGGCCTGTCCTGGGCCTGCTGTCACCAGGGCTGTGGTGGGCTGGAGCCGGTTTGTGAAGATGTGACTCTGCTGGAACCCGGGCCTGCTAGGACTGGTCTCCTGCCCAGGGCAGAGCGAGGTCAGGGCATGCCGGAGCTTCCCTCGAGGCTGCTGGTCCCAGCCAGGTGAGCACTGGAGCTCTGGAAGCTGCTGCACCTGGCAGGCCCCTCACCACTAGCCCAGCTAACATGGCTCCGGCTGGCAAAGGGCACACGCTCACAGGCCCGAGCTCTAGCGGCATAGAACTGAGCAGGGAAGACTGGCTTTGAGCTGAGGGACAATAAACTGATAGTGACATAATAAAAAAGCTCAAAGTGTGTTCTTTGATAAGATTAATAGTCTGTGAGTATCTGGTAAGATTAAGGGATTAAGGAAGTAAAGGAGAAAACAGCAATTGTCAGTATCGGAAATGGAATAGAGGACAATACTCTAGGTCTACAGACACAAAAAGCATTATGAAGGGTATAGCATAATCTTTCACCAGTTTAGATGATATGAACACATTCCTGTGAAATTAAATCAATTTTTTGAAAACTTATTACATATTAAATTCAAAGATTTAGGAAAGGGGCACCCAGTCCTTTATAAACTTGCAGAACTTTGCTAGTGAACTTATGAATATGTTACAAGAGAAGAAATTGATGTCAGTCTTTCCTTATCCTACCTAATAATAGACAAACATGGCAATTGACCGTACCTTTGCTATGCCTCCCATTGGCTAATCAGCGTGATATGCAAATTAACCACCAACAAAGATGGCGGCTAATTTGCATACTGGAGGCAGGGCGGGACAGCGCAGAGCCACCATCCAGGCCCCCGTTTGCGACCCCAGAAGCCCCAGAAGCCGCCTAATACGGTAGTAACTATTAGTAAGCACTCTGAAAGTCAGTGGCATAAATGCACCAATTAAAAGACAGATTATGAGGGTGAATCAAAAACAAAACCCACTTTAAATATAAAGACACATATAGATTAAAAGTAAATGAATTAAGCTGCAGCTTGCTTTGCTCAGTGGATAGAGCATTAGCCCTGAAGGGTCCCAGGTTCGATTCCAGTCAAGGGCATGTACCTCAGTTGCTGGCTTGATCCCCAGTCCCTATCAGAGTATGTGCAGGAGGTAACCAATCAATGTGTCTGTCCCTTTCCCTTCACTCTCTCTAAAATTCAATGGAAAAATATCCTTGGGTGAAGATTAACAAAAACAAAGTAAATGGATTAAGTAACATTAAAGAGATTATAAGAAAAATATATTCCAAATTTTGTTAGTTGTATAATGGTTATGTTTAAATTATTAACACCTAAGAAATTGGGTGAAGGGTACATGTAATATGCTGTAGTATTTTATAGTTTTTTTTTACATGTATGAGATTATTTCAAATTAAAATATTAAAAAATTAAAAATTAATAAAATATTAATTGAAATGTATCTGCATTATATGAAAAATCTAATTGCTTCTAGGATAACTTATTAAATTGTGCTAAAATTTACAAGGGTTCAATTAAAAAATATCTTAATTCTAAGTGCAGTTATAAGCACTTATCTGAAAATAAAAATTTAAAGAAGTGAATTTAAAGAAGGGATTAGCCAAAGAAAATATATGCACAACCCACGGACACAGACAACAGTATGGTGATGGCCAGCGAGAAGTGGGGGGGGGGGGGGGGCAAGAGCTGGGTAAAGGGGGCAAAAGGGGGGAGATAGGGACATCCTATATAATCCTATATAATAATAATAATAATAGGCTAATATGCACATTGACTGAACGGCAGAATGACCGGTTGCTATGATGCGCACTGGCCACCAGGGGGCAGACGTTCAATGCAGGAGCTGCCCCCTGGTGGTCAGTGCACTTCCATATGGGGACTGCCACTCAGCCAGAAGCTGGCTCATGGCTGGCCAGCGCAGTGGTGGTGGCAGGAGCCTCTCGCACCTCCGTGGCAGCACTAAGAATGACCAACTAACGGTTTAGACCTGATCCCTTGGGGGCCTAAGCCTTTAGTCGGACATCCCCTGAGAGCTCCCTGGCTGCCAGAAGGATGTCTGACTGCAAGCTTAGGCCTGATCCCTCCAGGGAGTGGGCCTAAGTCGACAGGTGGACATCCCCCAAGGGGTCCTGGACTGCGAATGGGTGCAGGCCGGGCTGAGGGGGATCCACCCACCCCGAGTGCACAAATTTTTGTGCACCGGGCCTCTAGTCAAGATATAAAAATCTTAATAACAAATCCCATCCGCTGAAACGTAAAAAGTATGATACATTTAACCCAAGTGGATGTATTGCTAGATGCCATGGGTGGTTTTTAATATTCAAAATTCAATGTTACTCATCACACTGATGCTAAAAAAGAAAACTCCGATAGCTATTTTCATAGGTACAGAAAAATCAATTGATAAAACCACACCCATTTGTGATTTAGAAAAAGGAACATTTACAAAACCATTAACAGAAAGGGCATAGTAACAGTAGTTATTTACAAATAATAGTACAGAGTATTTACAGGAAGAGCAGGCATCATTTCTAGTGGTGAATAATCAATAGCTACTCCCCCACCCCCCCCGGAGTGAGAGTGAGATAAAGACATCAGTTATGTACAATTGTTTTAGAGGAAATAACCCGTACAATAAGGCAAGAAAAAGAAATGAAAGTTAGGAGGGTTGGGAAGGAATAAATAAAACTTTTCTGCAGATGATAATATGTAGAAAGTCCAAAATTATCTGTAATTGGAATTAATAAAGGAACAAGTGATATGTATTCTAAAGTTGCTGGGTAAGAAGTATTCAGAAATCATTGTGTACTAGCAACAGGTAAACAACATGATATTTTAAAAAAAATCAGTAAGATCATCATAAAAAGATGATCCTACTTTAGAGGAAATCAAATACACAAAGACCTCGACACACTGAAAACCACAAAATATTGTGGAGTGAAATTTAAGACCTAAGTAAGTAGGTATACTACGTTCAAGAATTGGAACACTGGGTATTATGAAATGTCAGTTTTTCTCCAAAATAATTAAATGCAATTTCAGTTTTATAAAGAACCAAAAAACCCAGCAGGTGTGTTTGTGTGTTGATATATTGATAGGCTTAATCTAAACTTTAAGTTGACCATTAGAAGACTGAAAACAGTTAAGACAGGCATTAAAGAACAACAAAGCAAGAAGACTCACACTACTAAATAACACTTAGAAAGCCATAGTAGCTAAGAAAGCGGGTGTTAATGAAAGGGTAGATAGTCCAGTGAAATGGAGTAGAGAAGTCAAAAAACAACCCCCACTTTCATACAGATGGTCATCTGCTGTGGCAAAGGTTGCACTTGAGTGTAGTAAGAATGATCATCTTTCCAAAAGAGACCAGTTCAGTTGGCTTGGCTGTACAGATAAAATGAACTTTAACTCCTGCCTCTCAAATGAAGAAGGCCAGTTCTTAGATGGATTGTAGACCTAAATGAGAACGGCAAAACCAAAATGGAAACAAGCATACTTTTATAATCTTTAGTTAGGCAGGTTTTTTAAACAAGATGCAAAAAGCTTCCATCATAATGGGCAAAAGTGGATAAATATTTACAGTGAAGAAACACAGCAAATGTTGGCAAGTTGTAGGGCAGTTGGAGCTCTCATCATACATTGCTGCGGGATGTAAAACTGTTGGTTGATCATTTTTGAAAACTAATAGGCTGTGAAGTAAATGCCCACCCCATGACCCTGCAGTTCCTCTCCTAGGTATATTCTGAACAGAATTCGGTGCAGTCTCATGGACTGAGGAGTAGAGGTGATGAGAAAAAGAGACGAGGAAGAATTGTGCCTTTAGTCTTATTTATTTCAGTAGGTCCCATTGATTTTAACATCTTATTATGGAGCTTGGGGTGGTGAACACACAGTGCAATAAACACATGATGTATTATACCAGTGGTTCTCAACCTTCCTAATGCTGTGACCCTTTAATACAGTTCCTCATGTTGTGGTGACCCCTAGCCATAAAATTATTTTTGTTGCTACTTCATAACTGTAATTTTTCTACTGTTATGAATTGTAATGTAAATATCTGAAATGCAGGATGTATTTTCAGGAGTCACGACCCACAGATTGAGAACCGCTGTATTATACAATTGTACACCTGCAACCTATGTAATTTTAATAACCAATGTCACACCAATAAACTCAATTAAGAAAAGACATCTTACTGTGGGAGAAGTGCAAGTCTTTAATTGTGGGACAGAAGCTATTTGAAATAGACTTCCTGGGAATGATTGCACACTTTCATACACCAAAAGTGTGAGTTTGATTTGAATTGAAGCTTGGACAGTTGGGATTGAAATTCAGTGGTTCTCCCCGTGATTGGTTGGCCGCATTCTTTCACAACAGGGGACCCAATGTATTACATCGTGTCTTCCTTCCTAGAGGATCCTCGCTCTGCACTCGTAACTTAAAAAAGTCCTTTCTACAAAATTGCTGTTACGTTGAGTGTTTTTTATTAACTGTACTTTTAAGGGTCCTTCGTCCCTACTCCCTACCCACCCCCCCACCAGTGTTCACCTGATCATTGCTAGGTTGTGCTTTCTCTGTGTTTGACAAAGATTTAATCTTTATTATTATTTTTTTCTTAAATTGGTTTCATAATTTACTTTTCAGGCTTACAATACTAGCACTGGGAGATAAACTGAATGATTATTGGAATGAAATGAAAGTGAAGAAAAATGCAGAATATCCTCTAAATTTGCCTGTTGAAGATATACAGTGAGTGTGCATTAAAAAAGTTTACCCTCTCTACTATCAAGATGTGATATTGGAGGGTACATTGATTGTACAGTGTTTACAGTTGACTCTAACCCAAAGTAAGGACTAAATTCTACAATTTAGATCAGCATACCATAAAATGACTTGATGATAGGCCCTGGGGAGGTAAGCTCAGTTTGTTAGAGCTTTGTCCCTGGATGACAAGGTTTTCGGTTCTCTCCCCAGTCAGGGCACATTCAAGGGGCAACAGTGAATGCAGAAATAAGTGGAACAATGACATGTTTCCCTCCCACCCTTTCTCCCTCTCTGTCTTTCTAAAAATAAACATTTTAGAATAGTGAACTAATGAATATATGCATTTATAGGTAGTCACAAAAGATGGATGAAACAGTTTTTACCCATGTGTTGTGTTATCATCTCATAAACCAGACTTGAGTTTGGAATCTAGTTTTGCTGCTTAAGTAACCAAGTGACATTGAATTTCTTACTTAGCCTCTTATAAGCTTCAATTTTTGCCTAGAATTGTAAGAATCTTATATATTAAAAGGGTAATATGCAAATTGATCCTAACAGCAGAACGACTGGGAATGACTAGTCACTATGGCACACTGTGACCACCATGGGGCAGATGCTCAATGCAGGAGCTGCCCCCTAGTGGTCAGTGTGCTTCCACAGGGGGAGCTCTGCTCAGCCACAAGCCAGGCTGCCAGCTGCCAGCACAGCGGTGGTGGTGGGAGCCTCTCCTGCCTCCTCAGCAGCACTAAGGATGTCTGACTGCAGCTTAGGCCTGCTCCCCGCTGGCAAGTGAACATCCTCCGAGGAATCCCAGACTGCGAGAGGGCATAGGCCGGGCTGAGGGACTCCCCCCAAGTGCACAAATTTTTCTGCACCAGGCCTCTAGTTAAAAGATATGATGCCTGACAAACGCTCAGAAACACACTGGCACATAGTAATAATGCTGTGAATGAGTACTGCTGTGTATTGTGTGCACCGATGGGAAGAAGTTCAAGATGTATAATGAAAAAACAAAGATACAACTCTGTATTAATTTCCCATTTATTTTGTGTGTGTCTCTATACACATGCAATAATGTCACCTCCTGAAATTGGTTTATATTTTCTTTGCAAACTTCTGGACTGTTTGAAGTCTCATATGACTGTAAATGCATTTTTTTAAAAACTACATTTAAAAAGTTACAGGCATTAAGGTGAAGTCTTCATATGTCAAATGAGTCTATATCAGGGGTGGGCAAACTTTTTGACTCGAGGGCCACAATGGGTTCTTAAACTGGACCGGAGGGCCGGAACAAAAGCATGGATGGAGTGTTTGTGTGAACTAATATAAATTCAAAGTAAACATTATTACATAAAAGGGTATGGTCTTTTTTTTTTTTTTTTTTTAGTTTTATTCATTTCAAATGGGCCGAATTCGGCCCACGGGCTGTAGTTTGCCCCCGGCTGGTCTATATCAAGTTTTTATAGGATCAGTGTAACTTTTAAATGATAAAAGTAAGGAAGTACTTTATAAACTGAAAGAATATATAAATTTTAAGTTCAGAGATGTGCTATAATAGAGGATAAAAATGAAATACAATTATAAAAAATTGCTTAAACTGTAGTAATACAACTTGTCTGGTTTTCTGTACCCGGTGATTTATTTTGTTAATAAATATACTAGATTTGACATTGCAGGTACTAACTATAAATTTCAGAGCAAGATATTTGAAATATTTTAAGTTTGAGTTTTATTATCATGGAGCAAGTTTAATAGTATGCTATTAAATAATACATTTAAGTCATTTTGCTAAATTGGCCTGTCATTTTTAACCTTTTGAAGGTAATCAAAATTGTTTTGGTTTAACTTGGTGTACACAATAATAGATGTCATGAATTTTCAGGGATAGAATTAAATAATAGAGGCATTTTATGATGGAAATGATACAGATAAGCTAATGGAAGTGTATTTAGCACCCATGTTTCCATGCTAATACTTTGTTTTTTTATTATAGGAAACGTCCTGATCAGACGTGGGTTCAATGTGATTCCTGTCTAAAGTGGCGAAAGTTACCAGATGGGATAGATCAACTCCCAGAAAAATGGTATTGCTCCAATAACCCTGACCCACAGTTCAGGTACCAGATAGTTGGGAGTGTCCGTTTTGGAAAGGAGGAAATCCTGTTCAAGGTGTATGACTAGGCACTGCTGACCTGTTCTTCACTGTGATTTTTCTGACTAGAAACTGTGATGTTCCAGAAGAACCTGAAGATGAGGATTTGGTGCATCCGACTTATGAAAAAACCTACAAAAAGAGGTGAGCACTGATTTGCAGTGGGAAAATAATTAACACCCAAAACCGCAGCAGTGATGTGTCTGCAGTATTTGCTGATTTGGACAGCAGTGGGGGTTAGGGGCGCCGACCAACCCCCCCACACCTTACTCCTGCTGTCAAAAATCTGCCTACAACTTAAGTGGCCCTCTGTGCACATGGTTGGTTGAATCTGCAGATGCGACACCCAGGGATACAGAGATCTGACTGTATTTATTGAGAAAAAGTCCAAGTTTAGGAGTACCTGCACGGCTCAGACCCTTGTTCAGGGGTTGATTGTACAGCCACAAAGATTATGACCGAAGGAATGATTTTGTTGTGGGGTACATAACAGCAAGTGCTTTTTAAAAAAAGTTTATGCTGTGGATACCCGCTCTTTTTATCATTCCTGTTTATTGCTGCCCTATGTACAAGATAGTTAGCATACAGAATAGTTTGTCTTTTGGGGCCACACACAGATGCATCGTAAGTGAATGCTACCCTGTATGAGCTTATAGTCTAACAGGGAAGGTGAGATGTGAATATTACCAGTTAGAAGATAACAGGTACCATGCAAGGCAAGATCTAGTCCTGTTGGGAAGGCCATAAGAAAGATCACTTCTGGCCCCAGGATGGAGAGGGCAACATGGATCAGGAAAATTCATGAAGGACATTTTTGTAAGAGGCCTTGAAGGTAGGATGAATGTACAGGGCACAATGATTTGTTGACTCAACTAGAGGAAATATGTGAGTGAGCATGTGGAAATGGAGGTGGGCTGGGGGCGCTAGGTAACGAGTGATGTGGGTCAGCCTTGATGAATTTAGACTGATGTGCTGCACGCGGAAGGCAGAGTTCGCCAAGAACTTTCTGGAAGTTTTGATTTATGGTGCACTGTTTAAATCCAGCAGGACGGAGGTAGACAGACCAGTGGAGGCCTGTGTGGTATTCCCATTCTGAGGCCCGTAAACAGTGGGGAGGGCAAGCTGAGGCCCCGGGGCCTGAGGGGTGGAAGGGGTTCCCTGCCTAACGCACCACTGATTCTAGTGTGCACATCCCAGGGACTTGGGAGTGAGATGGCAAGTCTCTTTGCAAGACAGAATTGAACAATAATGGCGAAGTAGATTTAAATACGTTTTTCATTTTTTTTTTTTTAAGAGACAAGGACAAATACAGGATCAGACAACTGGAAAGGCTCCCTCAGGTAATGAAGCCTCCCATTTTATAGCTGTGTCTTATATTGGGTAGGGATTAATTTAACAAAAATTTGTTGTTGTTGTTAATCCTCACATGAGAATATTTTTCCCATTGATTTTTTTTTTTTTTACTGTAGTTGCCTGGGGGGTGGGGGGGGGGTGGTGGAATAGAAACATCGATTGGTTGCCTCACAGACCTTAAACCAGGCTCTTGACAGGGAATCAAACCCAAGACCCTTCAGTCCGAGGGCCGACTCTCTAACCACTGAGGCAAACCAGCTAGGGCACAGATATTTTTAAAGCTTAGGAGTTGCATACAAATGGAAGTGATCTTGTTCTTTCAGTTCACATATTTCTCTTTTCTTGTACCCCTCCTTGCCCTCTTTCCAACCCTGACTTCTTAACCCAACAACTTCAAACTGTTCCCCCCCCCCCCCCAATTTTTTTTTCTTCTTTTTTTAAAAGAGAGGAAGGGAAAGGGAGATTGAAACATCACCAATGAGAGAGAAACATTGATGGAACGATCACTTGACTGCATCCTGCACGCCTCCTACTGGGGATTGATCCCGAAACCCGGGCATGTGCCTTGACCAGGAATTGGCGACCTCTTGGGTTGATGCTCAACCACTGAGCCACACTGGCTGTGCTGAGCTGTTCAGTTTTATTATTTAGTTGGGCATCTTCTGCGGAAAGGCAGACATTCTTTTTAGAACCCTGTTGCTAGGCAGTCAAGGAAAAGTACGCAGGAACACCCAGGAGCTAGGTTCCAGTGCTAACCTGGACCGAAGCTGTGGGGTTCTCTCCCTCTTTGCTGAGCACTCTCCCTGCCCCTTTCTTTCTGATTGCTCACTGGTGCTGAGGAGCCTGTTCTGAGTATGTGACAGGGGGTCCTACTTGTGTGGGAAGTTTTGGTCTGCTGCAGATGTGTGTGTTTGTTTATAATTATGTTGAAATGTTTTCTTGTATAAAGCTTAGGATTTGGGGGTGAGAACAGAACTCGTGGGGCGGTAAGAATAGTGGGCTTGTTTTTAAAGGCAGTATCTTTATGACTATTTTTAACTTATTTCTCTTAGAAAAAAGTTATTATATCTCGGTAAGTTCTATATATAGTACAGGGCCAAGAAATCTTTTCTGTAAAAGACCTGATAGTAAATGTTTTGGGCTTTGTGGACTACATGTAGTCTCTGTTGCATAGTTTTCATTTGTTTTGTTCACACCTTAAAAAACGTAAAACCATTCTTAGCTCACTCGCAGGATGGATGGGGCTCATTGGCCTATTGTATTTTGCTCCCTCGTGTAGCACAGGGAAGTTACAGGGTAGGATAGTTCTCAGCATCTTCTGAGTAAGGGAAAAGGGAAAATAATGTATTGTTTTGGGCCTTGCACATTAAAAAAATTCCTTTAAGAATTTTTTCCCCCTCCAACAGATTAATACTGAACTGTTGTTTTCAACAATCCCTTTGCCAAGTATTTCTCCCGTGAAGGACAGTGTTCCAAGAGGACATCTTTCAGAAGCAGCGAATACTTACGCAGCACGACTTGTAAACAACAGGGGTTCACCCCAGTCTGAGCCTGAGAGCAACAGGTCAGTGGCAAAAATGTGCTTTCCATTGGGGGAGACAGTTAAACAGAGCCTTTCCTGGGCACTTGTAGGCACGTCTAAGAAATTGTAGTTTAAGTGCATGTAAAAAGTCTACAGGACAAGTGACTGCTTATAGTATCCACATGTACTTATCCCATCCCACTATGCCACCTATTTAAATCAAAAATATTAATTGTATTTATTGTGGAATTTGATCAAATTGTCACTTTGAGATTTTCTATAGCATGAAATTTTCTGCTTTTTCTTTTTTTACTCCTTACCTGAGGATGTTTTTATTGATTTTTTTTTTTTCTTTTGAGAGAGAAAGGGGGGTTGGAAACATTGATGTGAGAGAGAAACGTCAATTGGTTGCCTCCCTTACTTGCCCTGACTGGGAATTGAACCTGCAAATTTTTGTTGTAAGGGGCGATGCTCCAACCAACTGAGCCACACTGGCCAGGGTGGTTTCTGCTTTTAGGATTATCAGTATCTAAGTAAAGGAAAAAAATTAAATAATTAACAGTATTCAGTGTAATAGAGGGCTAATATGCAAATTGTCCCCTCTACCTGGAGTTCAACCAGGGGGCGGGGCTGGCCAGCCAACCGCCTGCTGCCCCTACCCTGGCCTGCCCCGCCCCCGATCATCCCCTCCCCACCCCATCAGGTGCAATGGCCCCATTAACCCTGATCCGGGTGGGCCGCCAGGACCCCACCCCACCTGTGCACGAATCCGTGCACCAGGCCTCTAGTAATATTATAATGTCAAGTGTGACCTATACATTTTTAGCATAGCCCGTGACACTGTGTATTTTGGAGGAGTGGTTGGAGAAGGAAGGAAAGAAAGGGATGAGTGATAGTGGATTGAACGGTTAGTTCCAGCTCTTGACTGGAATGGCCCGGGAGGGCTTCGGGATGAGGTTGTACTTCGGTTGGTTCCTGAAAGCAGGACTGTGCACAGAGCCCATTCAGAGGGGATGGAATGACCAGGTGAGGAAAGATCAGGTGAGGTGAGCGAACTGGTGGATCAGACCGACTACACTTGATGTTTATTGTTGAAAGAGAAACATTGGAACAAGGCTCTCTGAGATAATGAAGCCAGATTTTCCCAGAGGTTTTGTGACCTTCATTAAATTCTCCAAGGGATTTGTGACCTTAGAAAAGAGTAAAAATAGCTGCCTTTCTGCATATGTACATGGAGGACATGCTCTAAACAGTTTGCCCTTCTTTTTTAAATATATTTTATTGATTTTTTACAGAGAGGAAGGGAGAGAGATAGAGAGTTAGAAACATCGATGAGAGAGAAACATCGATCAGCTGCCTCCTGCACATCTCCTACTGGGGATGTGCCCGCAACCAGGTACATGTCCTTGACCGGAATCGAACCTGGGACCCTTCAGTCCGCAGGCCGACGCTCTATCCACTAAGCCAAACCGGTTTCGGCAACAGTTTGCCCTTAACAGCCCACATTTAGGGGACTTCTTTTGGGGCTGGACTGCTACTTAACTAAAAACTTGTGTGAAGCCCTGGCTGGTTTGGCTCAGTGGATGGAGCATCGGCCTGCGGACTGAAGGGTCCTGGGTTCGATTCCGGTCAGGGGCATGTACCTTGGTTGCAGGCATATCCCCAGTAGGAGGCGTGCAGGAGGCAGCTGATCGATGTTTCTCTCCCATTGATGTTTCTAATTCTCTATCCCTCTCCCTTCCTCTATGTAAAAAAATTCAATAAAATATAATTAAAAAAAAACTTGTGTGAATTTTTTAAAACCAGTCTCCTTTGTATTCTTGGTTTTTCTTCATAAAGATGGTTCCCGACAAAGTAAGAAAAAGAAAAATCTGTAGTTTACAGAGAAAAAATGATGGAATTTATTTTTAAAAGTGACTATCATTAAAATGGAAGCAAAGAATAGAAAGAAAATTTTCATTAATTTTAAAGTCTATACTCCTCAGATTCATAGAGTCAAAGTCTGTGGCAATGACAAAGTAGGTCTTGACAATGACAGATTAGGAATAAGCCTGGTAAGAAAAATAATGGGGCAATGCCCTATCAACTGGTTAACTCCGGAGACCTCTGAACAGACTCAGAACTTGGAAACACCGGTTCTTCTGAAGGTGCAAACTAGGCCGAGAACAGGAGGCTTGTTTGCTCTCGTTGTGTCAGGAGGTGGGAAGGTGACCCTTCTGGAGCAGTGTTTTCTGCTGAAGATGTCAGTGCGCCACTGTTTTGAAAACAGGAGTAAGCGCAAGTTTGAATACTGAGTGGTGAGAAATCCCTCTCCCTTCCTCCCCTCGCTGGGTTCCCAGGATAAAAGCTCTGGATGCGGAGTGTTTGAGTGCTCTTGAATCACAAGCCCAGCCCTCACTCTGCAATAGAAAGAGATGGCCAAGGATCGCCATGTACAAACTGAAAGGGAGTGAAGAAACCATGTGACATTTACTGGGAGGTGGGTAGATGTTGGACAGGTAAGCCTCTTAGAATGGAAAGATGAGCAGTTGGAAGGTAGAAAAAGAGATGGGAAGGTCAACATCTTAGTAGGGAATCTGAAAACAAAGGGGAGGAAATAATGGAAGAGAGACTTCATTCCATTACATACACAGCATAATGTCTGGGAAAGCACCATTCCAAGTAGCATCATGGAGTTTTTTTTTGTTTTTAAATATATTTCTTTATTGATTTCAGAGAGGAAGGGAGAGGGAGAGATAGAAACATCAATGATGAGAGAGAATCATTGATCCGCTGCCTCTTGCAGGCCTCCTACTGGGGATCGAGCCTATAAACCCGGGCATGTGCCTTTGGCCAAAATCGAACCTGGGACTCTTCATTCTGCAGGCCGACGCTTTATTCACTGAGCCAAACCGGCTAGGGCATGTCATGGAGTTTTAGACATGGGGGAACAGAGCTGCTGGTAGGAGGAACAAAGTGCACAAATGCAGGGTGAGACAGGCAGACACACTGAATGGTAGGTGGAAATCAGCGATGCTTCTAAAGTTTTGAGAAAGTAACTTCCAACCTGAAAGTCTGTATGAAACCAAGCCAGTAAACACAAGAAGTAAATACATCATCATGATGCAAAATTTTACATTTTTTATGTCCTGTGTGTGCTTTCTCAAGATTTTATTAGAGTTTGTACCCCTTCGATAGAGAGTAAGCCAAGAAAGGAAGTTCTTTGTTTTTAATCCTCTTAGGATACTTTATTTATTTATTTTTTATTTCTGTGAGAGGAAGAGGGGGAAGAGATAGAAATATTGATGTCAGAAAGAAACATCGAGCCATTGCCTCCCGTATGCACCCCTACCGGGTTCGTATCTGCCACCTAGGTACGTGCCCTGACTAGGAATCGAACCTTTCGGTGCATGGGATGATGTTCCAACCAACTGAACCACGTGGCTGGGGCAGAAAATCTTTGTTAAATCAAGGAAACCTGAGGTCTGACACAGAAGGCCCAAACAGGAAACTAGTACATATATCCCTTTAAGTGGCACAAAAAGTAATCAATTGGTGATAAATTCAGAGAAAGCTAAGGAAATGAAGAAAATGAGGCAATTTTTAATGAGGGAATATTGTTTTATATGAAAGGATAGGGCATACTTAGTGGCTCACTTGACCACTGAATGTTGATACAGGTCATGATGGGCAGATGGGGATGGCAGTGCCACTCCCTGAGCTCTAGAATACAAAGGGCAGATCTGTGGTGGGTGGTGCATTCTGGGTTGGACATGGGTACCTTGAAATGCCCAGAGGACAGCAAGTGCAGAGATGTTGGCAGTGTACAGATCTGATACTTTAGACATCTCAGCAGTGTGTTCACAGGTGTAGAGGAAGAACGTGTTCTGTACTCCGTTAACTCATTGGGTAGTACTGTGGAATAATATATCACTGCTTTAAAAAATCAGCATGAGTATTTCATCACATTTTAAGGTAGAGTAATTCAAAGCCATCTATTTTGTTCATATCTATATTTCATAACAATTTGCATGTAAAATCTTTTCCAGCATGAAACGGAGACTTCCTATTCGTTCCTCAATTTTGAATGCAAAGACTCCGAGATTGAGTAATCAAGCATTTGAAAATCCAGCTTCTAGAGAGGATGATGAAGATGTCATCATCTTAGAAGAGAACAGTACTCCCAAGCCTGCAATAGATCATCAGAATGTTGAAATGAAACCAGAACAGAGTCACATCGAGCAAAGTATGGGTGACATGCTTCAGGACGAGCCTATGGGTGACATTGAACCTTGTGACCAGACTAGTTCAACAGGAACCTTGCCATCCAGGTGTGATCAGGCAACTGCTGTGGCCACCCAGACTGAAGTCCCAGGTGTGGTGGTTAAAAAGGAAGAAACGATTGAAGATGACATCAATACAAGAAACGATACAGCTGCACTGCCATCCTGTGTGGAAGCTGAAGGGAAGCCACAGGAAATGCAGGAGACCTTTGATAAAGCTGTGGGTGATGCTGGGTGCCGGGTAAATGAACTGAGAAATGAGCTGCTGCTAGTTACCCAAGAAAAAGAAGATTATAAAAGACAATGTCATATGTTTACTGACCAAATCAGGCAGTTACAACAGAGGATACTGGAAATGAATGACAAATACGTGAAGAAGGAAACCTGCCATCAATCTACCGAAACCGATGCTGTGTATTTACTTGAAAGCATTAATGGCCAATCTGAAAGTCTAGACCACGTGGCATCTCAGTACCGGCAAGCTCTGGACGAAATAGAAAGGCTGAAGAAACAGTGCAGCGCTTCGCAGCACGTGAAGCACGAATGCAGTCAGTGTTCCAATAGTGAGAGTAAAAGTGAGATGGACGAAATGGTCATGCAACTGGATGATGTGTTTAGACAGCTGGACAAATGTACTGTTGAGAGGGACCAGTATAAAAGTGAGGTGAGTTCTATCACTCAGCTTCCTGGTGGTCATGGGAATCCAGGGCCACCTCGGCCTGAGACCACTGCCAGCTGCCGGATTGGAACACATCGCTTAGTACGAATTTCCGCTCATTGCATGTCACTGTCCTGGTTCTCCACTGAGGATTAGGCCTGGGGCATATGGAAATGTGTGGGGTAGTTTTGGTTCTTAAACTGTCTGGAGATAGATGGGCACTGCTGGGACTCAGCGGTGGTGACCGGTCTGTTAATGTCCTGTAGTGCACAGGACATTGCTGGGTTCCTTTGCTTCACAGCGTGCAGTTGTGGTCTGAGCTCGCTTTTCAGGCCCAGCCATCATGTAGCTAACATTCCAAGCAGAAGGAAAGAGGAGGAGGCTGTTGCTGAAAGTTGTATATTCCATCTGTTGGGACTTAAGGTACCTGGCTAATGGGTGCCTTGGACCTGCAGTCTGTTTGGGGGTTCTTTACTGAGGAAAAAGGAGATTTTAGGATCAGGAGCTAAGTAGTGGCCTCTGCACTGCCCCCAGGTCAAATTTGGTAGCTCCTTTTTAAAGAACATCTATTTTATGTATCATATTTATGTGGTGTTTGAACGGAGGGTTTTTCTCTGCTAAATAAAGTTTGGAAACAACAGTACTGCCCGCTCCTGGAGATACTGCTGACATAACTTCTGCTGACATAACTGCTCAGTCAGACTTTCATCTTCGTGTTACTGGTTTAGGAGCTAGATGACATCATTGATCAAAGTCAGTCTAAGCTTCCTGCTATAACTTAGAGCGGGAAGTGTGCCCAAACAGAAGCCTCTGTGACATCAACGTCACATAGGCATTTTAATCTTGGTTTCTGAGTTTTTAGGAAGCATATATGTTTTTAGTAAGTTGTAGTGGACGTTTTGTTTCCTTTCAATGTAAAAAGGTGGAAAAATGAAATTAAACACTGAAAGCTATTGGGGGTTTTGTCTAATTTTTTTGGTGATAATTTTCATCAAGCAGGTTTTCTACATTTCTTAGCTTAAATTTGTGCTTTGATATCAGTATTTCTAAATTTTATAGTAAATTTAATTTTCTTGTCAGGTTGAATTACTGCAAATAGAGAAATCACAAATTCGTTCACAGTGTGAAGAACTGAAAACTGAAATTGAACAATTAAAATCTGCAAGTCAACAAAGAGGAACAGATGTTTCAACTTCAAGTAACATCGAGGAGTCTGTAAATTATGCTGATGGGGAAAGGTAATTTCAGTTGAGGCACTTTGCTGCGCTCAGTTCTGGTTAGCGAGATACTAATTTGCTATCACACATCTAACAGCTACTCTAAGCAGCTGTTGACTGCTGTGATCCCAACATGGTGATAGATGAGAGAGAAAAGGAGTGCATGTTATCACCCTTCCCTTCAGAGATGAACAGTTTAGGTTCAACTTAAGTGAAATAGGAGTTCCGAAGGACTAGCTTGTGATTGGTCAGGGTGGTTTGGAATGTTTGATTTCTTACTTTTGCATTTGGCACCATTTCTTTATGGTCTGCCATCCTCATTTTACTACTCTGTGCCTTCCCCCATCTTAACGTTTAGGAAATGCCACCGTCATTAAAAATTGCCATAGTACAGGTGGTTATTAGGAAGAAGTTCTGTGAAAATCAGAAAACAGCAAATGAATGATTACCCCCACCCTATCTCAGTCAGGTATAAAATGGAACTGGGTTTCCGTTTCGACTTGTTTTGTTTTTGAGAGTGGAGAAGTTAGGTGGGAGGGGGGACAGTGTTGGTGCTGTGTTGATGGTATACCATTCATAAAGAAGACATGAAGGGCTAATATGATAGGACTTCAGAGCTAAAAGGTACCGTTGAGAAATAATCTACTACCCTCACTTGACCATCAATTATATTATTACTTTGTTTTCTAGCTTAAGTTTTTGAAGAACGTCACTGAGTCTGTTCATGGAAATAGAAACAATAGAGTGCTGCACATGAGCACGGAGGGAGAGGGTTCAGGGAAAACTCCCCACTGGTGTTTCTCAGACCACCCGCACCCATGGTGCTGGTAGAAGTGCAGGCGGTTGGCCGCAGTGCAGTGTGATAAACTGCGCACGGAAGCAGGATCCCAGATGCCTCTGGCGCACTAACCTCTGAGTGACTCATGATGTTTTATTTATTTATTTTGTAAGCCTCACCTGGGGATATTTTTTTCCATTGCTTGTAGAGAGAGTGGAAGGGAAGGGAGGGGGGAGAGTGAAAGAGAGAGACATCGAAGTGAGAGAGACACATTGGTTTCCTGTAAATGCATTTAAAAAATGGGTAGTCGGTGCCCTTCAGCATGAAGTCTTGCATTTTAAAAAGTCTTGTTTAACATTAATTAACCCAATGTTTTATGAGCGTCTTTGACCACAGAATCATTTCTTTCTCCTCTCAAACAGCGATGATATCTCATAGAACATGTGTTAGGGAACAGTTCTGTCTACTTTCTTCAAAGGCAGCTGACAGTCAGAGATGCACTTTTATTTTAGACCAACCAGGCTTCTTACTGTATGTCACTGTTTTCTAGGTGATAAGTTATATATTTTGCCAGTCCATGTTTTCTCCAGTCTCAAGTCAAAATTGTAAAAGTTGGAGCCAAAGGGCCACTAGTGTTATGAAACACTACTGACCGCCAATAGATACGTAATTATTACATTGCGTTATGAGTGATTAAATTAGCAGATTAATTTCCCCTAAAATATTAAGCCCTACATAGCTGTTAAATTGTATTGCAGTGTTCATCTAATAAATGTAATAGTTGTTTCTTTAAATAAGTGTAATATTTGTATTTGCAGCTTCAAACTGCGATCTCTCCGAGTTAATGTGGGACAACTGCTGGCCATGATTGTACCTGACCTCGATCTTCAGCAAGTGAATTATGATGTTGATGTCGTTGATGAGATTTTAGGACAAGTTGTCGAACAAATGAGTGAAATCAGTAGTTCTTAAAGTCTATATTATTCGATATAATAAAACTATTTGCTCAGTCCTTTTGGTTGTACAGCTTTCAAAATGTAAATAATTTTGTTTTATAGATATAATAGGTGACAGACTGAAGAACCATAATCTTTACTCTATCCTATGCATTCAAATGTGGCCACAAACGTGTGGACACATTATCACACCGTTTGAAATGCCTGTGAATCATTGATATTGAGCAGCTGAATAGCTAACTCATGTTTCTGTTTTAAAATGTAAATATTTGTAATTAAGTCTGCACATATTTTTTTATTGCCCTAAAGGACATAAGTGTTTTTCACCAAGAGGTTTTCAGGTTGCCCCTAACCTTTGTGCAATCTTTTCTGGTTTCCCAAAGTGTATTTTTATCTGAACCGAGTGAGGGCTGTGCCATACATAAATGCAAATGGAAATGCTACCTTTCATTTTCTTACAGAGAAGTTTAAATAGGCATTTGTAAAAAATGGATTAATACTCCTGATAAGTTGTAAGTGAATTGAGCATTAACTTTCCTTTTCTATAAATGCTTATCTCCTGAAATATTTTTTTCCTGAAAATAAGGTAAGCAGAAACTCTCCATCCACTTTGCCGGGATATTTTCATGCTGAGATTGCCAATCATTGTTAAAGTGTTTTTATACAACAAGGAAATAATCTTTAGTATAAAAAATTATCAAGTATATTAACTGTGTGACCATGTTTACTTTTAAGCCCATTTTTGGCTGCTTAGCATGGAGTGGGCACAATAATTGCTAATATTTCTTTTAATGAAATTTCCTGTGCAGCCTTTTTTATAGGATCACTACAGGTTAAGTGAGTTGGGGAAGACAATCTTTCTCGAACAATACTGCATACCTTTCATTGTATTACGAACCTAAGTGTTCTATGTCCTGGAGTTAAGCAACAAATTGCCCTATGATTATGGTATCACATGCCATTAAATTGCTTTTCTTGGTCCCTTGTTTTGTGCAATTTTAAAGAGATGACTTTCTATTAAGTTTAACTGTGTATATATAATTAATTTCCCACAACTAAAATGTGCATTATTTTTTCCAAAGTTTTATCATTGCTATTTATTTTTACTTTTTCTGAACATTCAATACATGTTCTTTTTTTGTATGTATGTTTAATTACATATCTGTCACATAGAATATAAAATTTTTACTGTACATTAAGTTCTAGAAAAAGCAAATAAATGAAGATTGTTTTATTTGCTTGATAAAGTAATTGAAAGTGTATTTTTGGTATGAAGCTGGTTTTCTGTCACAATTGTATCTGCCCCAAACTTAAAAGTTCTTATAATAAAATAAAAATATATACGATGGCTAATTCTTCAGATATTACTTTTAAAGAATTCTGTATTCAAATTATATTTTGAAAACTAAAATTGTGTTCACTAAGGACCCTAAAGTTGAGCACATTTTACTACAGTTCTGTTTGGAAGACCCGACTGTGTCCTTAGACTCAGACTGAGCTGCTGAGGGAGTGAGCATGAGTGCTTATGGTTACACTCGGGAAGGAACGCTTTCTGTGTCTAACCATCCGGTCTGAAGAAACTGTTTAAATGGCAGCAGTCTAAGTTGGTGAGTATTTATGTAGCCATTCTTTCTGGAATTTGCTATTTTTTCCTTTTGGTTAGCTATATTCTTGCAAAAAATATATTTTATGGATATTATTTGGCTTTTAATGGGGAAGTGTTGGTATATTTTTCACCTTTTAAGAAAATACTGCTAAGATAGGGTTCTTTTGAAAATATGGCTAACAGGTTTTTGTTTTTTTTTAACTGCTCCAGTCAATCAACAAAAGAGCGACTTTAGTGAGGCCTCAGGGTCACAGGAGTCAGGCAGAAGGCCGCCTGTGGGCTGAGGAGGTGGTGGAGAGGGGCCTTACTCAGCCTTCTGGGGTGCAGGTTGTTGGTGTGGCCGCACTTCCTGAGGCGCTTGACAGCAGGGGGTTCAGGCGGGCGGAACACTTGCTGATCATTTTGTTGCAGTGGTACTTGTGCGCGAGCTAGTGGAGGGAGGCTCTGATGCCGGCCCCCGCAGACGAGGCGCCAGGTGCAGGGTGGGCTCTGTGACTGTTGTCATCAGAGTTCGGCCGTCCTCCAGTTGTTTGCCCACATGGATTTTAGCTTTGACATTCTCAGTGATGTCACTGGGCTCGACCTCAAGGACAGTGGCCTCACCAGTCAGGGCCTTCACAAAGATCTGCATCTCTGCGTTGGGGACGCTGCCTGGCTGCCTCATTGAAGAGAAAGAGGCTAACAAGTTTGACCGAGAGTAACGTGGACTCTCATGGCATATATCCCATTTAGGTAGAGTTATCTACCTTTTTTGTTAAATTACATTTGTAAAAGGCTAGTGTAGGAGGGCAGTGTTGCTTATCCTAATTAAAAACAGCATGAGAAGGCAGTCCACAATCCCAACAAAGACCCACTTTATTCCGCTAAGGCTACAAAATCAGTGAGAGCTATGAGTTGACACAGCAGGCTGGAGTGGCGTGTCATGTAGATGTCCATCACCTGGGCCCCACGTTTCCGTGCAGAGGCTGCTGACGACGGCACATGGTCCAGATGCTTGATTCTTGCTGTCACACAGCCCATTAGGTCATTAGTCGTCATTGAGGAGTGATTAAGATGGCATATACTGGTGGTTCGCACCCCCAGTGGCATATTAGAACCACCTGGGGGTCCTGTAGACTCCCGGTCCAGGCTGCACCCCATATTAAGTCAGAGTCTTTGGGATTGGACCAGATATCAGTAGTTTTTAAGGCCTCCCAGTAAGCCATCAGAGCCAAGAACCATTCATTTGTACCCGACAGGACCATTTGCAAACGTTGAACGCGGGTGGTTCCTGAAACAAACTCAGGACCAGCGTGGCCACTTTCTCACTGGGATGTGTGAGGAGGGGAAGGGGGAACAGTCGAACTGGAACAGAATGGTAGAGTGGAAAGACTTCCTCACCACCTCCCTAAGGGGTAACCACCATTGTGTTTTGTATGTCTTTCCAGAAAGTAGTTGCACACATATAAATGCGTCCAGTTTATATTTAAGTTTTTATCTTTACATTAGATACATATTTGTATCAAATTCAAACAAATTGCTCCTAATGCTCATTTATTTCTCGTCCCTTGCAAGACATTATAAAAAAGGTTATTATGGGAATTAATAGACACCACACACACTTTTTCAAGTATGTCCAGAGTGTAAGTCCCAAATCTTTTAGAAGCCAATATATAAAGAACAAACCTCAATATTTGTTCCCAAAAGGATAAAGAGACCTGGTTGATTTCAGTGCCATGACATCCAGGGAGAAAGAGGAGGGGATGTGGGGGTGGGAGAGTCACCTGGGGGAGGCTTTCTTCCAGGCTGCACAGGGTAGCATTCCTTTTGCAAAATCCCTTGGCCTGCAAAACTTCCAGGGCATTGCCCACCCATCCTTTCCCATCACAGGTCCCACTGCTCCCACTCTGCTCTGTTGCCACTGTGATATTCTTTAGTGCGAGTCCTCACTTCCCAGCTGCTTACCCCAAACTCTACCACCTGAAGCCTTTAAATGCCCCTTCTCTTCAGACTTCCTTGGAGCCTTCACATCTGAAATAACCTTGTCCTTGGGACTGTAAGAATGAAAGAACAGAACAGGACTGATAGCTGTGTCCTTATCCCCTCTTCCAAGAAAAAGCCACAGATGTATCAGTTACTCAGCTTGCCCTTATCTCGGCCAATGGGAAAGCGGGGGAAACTAGCCCAAGGCCAAGAGTATGCTAGCCACCCCCCTGTCTTTGTGTAACCAGACCCTAGCTATACCCTGCCCTTGCGTCACTAGCCCCGGGCCCTCACTCAACCAACCGGAATCGGCCAAATCAGTGGTCAGAGGGTGCCCCCACCCCCTAACCCCAAGCCCTATAAATTCTTTGTTCCCTTGGGACTTGGGACTCTCTCTTGCATCCAGTAATGGGGGGGGGGGGGGGAGGGGACGGGACCATGTCCCGGGCTTGAATAAAAGACTCTATGCTTTTGCATGGGACTGGGCTCCCTGGTGGTCTGTCTTGGGGGATCTTGAAATATGGGCATAACAAGAGCACGTGGTTTCATTCACTTATCTATTTAAATTTATCTCAGAGAGGAAGGGAGAGGGAGAAACATCAATGAGAGAGACTCATTGAAGGGCTGCCTCCTGCACGACCCCTACTGGGGGTCGAGCCCAAAACCCCTGCATGTGCCCTTGGACCGGAATCGAACCCAGGACCATTCAGTCCGCGGGCCGACGCTCTACCCACGGAACCAAACCAGCTAGGGCCACTTTACCTTTTTATTATAATTCCTTGCGTACATGACTACAGGATGTCGAGGACAGTCTTTTATTGATTGAAATTCTAGAGACCAAGACAGGGCCCGAGACAGGTTACAGCTCAAAAGCCCGTTGCCCCAGGGAAAGACGGGAGTCTTGGGCGGGTCTGGGAGGTCCGGTCCTGCAGGGCCGCTCCTTCCTCCTCTTACCGCCTGTGCGTTTCCCGAGGGTAGGCCTCGGCGTCAGCTTGCGGCCCAGCGTGGCCCATGTGCTGGGATGGTTGCTAGAAGAATGAACCCACACGGGAAGAAGAGATGAACGAATGAATGGACGACTCTCTCACCCTCCCGCCGCGGGAGCGCTCCGCGGAGCCGGCAGGAGCTGGCCCTGATTGGACGCCTCCGCGGCGCAGGGCCACCACGCTCGGCGCCCGGGGGCGGGGCGCCCTGTAGCCCCTCCCACGGGGCGGGGCCTGTGGCGCGCGGGAAGCGGAGCGCGCGCTGGAGCCGCTGAATGACCGGGTCCCTGTAGGTGAGTTCTCCCTGTAGGTGGGGCTCCCGCGTCCCCGGGGGTCTCTGAACCGGGCCGCGCCGGCCGGGCAGGGGCGAGAGGCTCCCGCTGAGGGCCGGCGGCGGGGACAGGGACGCCTCCGGAGCGGCGCGCGTTCCGGCGGCCGGTTCCCGCCCAGGCCCCGGCCTGGGCCCCGCGGTCTCCTCCCCGCCGGGCCAGGCCTCGGCTACCCGGGCGTGCGGCCTGGGGAGGGGGTCCCCTGGCCCCGGAGGCCCCGTCCCCGGGAGCAGGGTTCCCTCGCGGCCCTGGCCCCTTCCTTTTGCAGCCCCCGGGCAGCCCCCTCTCCCGGATAGTCCCCTCCTCCTGGGGGCTCCTCCTCCTGGGAGCTCCCTTCACCAGGCGGCTAGGCTCCTGGGAAGTGGGGTTCCCTCGCTGGCCCCTCTGGCTCCCTCTGCGCGCCCCAATCGCCACTAAGCGGGGGCGGGGGCACAGCCCGCGGGCCTCCTGATTTTCTCTGCCTGCGTGTTCCGTTTTGCTTTTCCAAGTAGCAGGAGAACAAACCTAACAGCCAGGGCTCAACAGAGCATTTAAAAAAAAATATTTTTGTTGATTTCAGAGAGAGAGAGAGAGAAACATCAATGATGAGAGAATCACCGATCGGCTGCCTCCTGCACCCCCCTTGCCTGGCATGGAGCCCCCAACCCAGGCATGTGCCCTTGACTGGAATCGAACCTGGACCCTTCCGTCCACAGGCCAAAACGCTCTATCCACTGAGCCAAACCGGCTAGGGCTCAACAGAGCACTTTAGGTGCAACTTGCAAGGTGTGTCAGGACATATTCGCATGTTTTCCAGTACAGCGTGCATTAAAAAAAATTGTTGATTGATTTGAGAGAGAGAGGAAGGAAGAGAGAGACCGAGGGAGAAACATGATTTGTTCCACTTATTCTAACCATTATTGGTTGCTTCTTGGATGTGCCCTGACCTGCGACCCTGCGGGCCACCTTGGTGTATGTATCGGGACGATGCTGTAGCAACCTGGGCTGCCAGCGTGCATTTTCCGTGGTTAGGACTCCTGGCTCATAACAAGTGTTCCGATTCCCAGCTCTCCTCTTCAGTTCATCACCACCGGTCTTCAGCTTTCCTCTGTCTTTGGAACAGGAACGCTGCCCGCGACTCGGGAGGATGAAGGTCATCACTTGCGAGATCGCCTGGCACAACAAGGAGCCGGTGTACAGCCTGGACTTCCAGCACGGCGCGGCCGGGAGGGTCCACAGGCTGGCGTCCGCGGGCGTGGACACCGCCGTGAGGGTCAGTCGGGGAGGGGCAAGCACAGGGAGCCCCGCTGAGGCAGCATTCTCCAGGCTTCCATTTAAAGCTGATGCCAGCCAACTCCATACTTCCTCATCTAGCCCAGAGGGACGCACTCTCAGGGCCGGGAGGGAACAAGGAAACCGAAAGAAGCCGCTTTCTCCTTGGGTCAGATTAAGGGGACTTGATCCCTGTGCTTTTAGAACCCGAGCCAGGTCCCCATCGGGGACCAGTCTGGACTAGAACGAGGCCGGAGGGAGGACACTCAGCAGTGGGACTGTGGGCTTATGGCTCAGACACAAGTTCCTTCCTTTTATGTTTCAAAAGAAAAGCTACGTCGTCTTCCTGAACATAAGCAGAGGGTTATTTTAGTGCGCGGAGCAGGGCAGGTGCTCACTCTGGGTGGCTCTGGATGCGTGTTTTGGTGTCCACAGGTCTGGAAGGTGGAAAAAGGACCGGACGGGAAGGCCATTGTTGAATTTTTGTCCAATCTGGCCCGCCACACCAAAGCCGTCAATGTCGTGCGCTTCTCTCCAAACGGGGAGGTTTTAGCATCCGGAGGAGACGGTGAGTGTCGCACTTCAAGGTTCTTCAGAGGCCACGTATCCGTGTGTCTCCTGTCAAACCCTGAGGCGTGAGCCAAGTAAGGCTTGTTTACGTTAGAGGTCGCTGGACCCGTCCATCTTTCGTTTATGTTCTGGGGCGCACGAGCAGATGGGGGCAGCAAACATAAACTATCTGAGAAGACCTCTCTGGAAATGCCTCCTTGCCCACGTGCTCCCTCTGGGCTGGCGTGGAGACAGTAGGAGGTGTTTCCCATTCTGACGGGGTCTCCTGGCCCTGTGCGGGCCTTGCTTAACTGTCAGTGTAGAAGGTATAAGTGATCACAGTCTGTCCCATGTTTCTGTATAATTAGTTAATTGGCTTAGGGCAGCGGTTCTCAACCTGTGGGTCGCGACCCCTTTGGGGGTCTAACGACCCTTTCACAGGGGTCGCCTAAGACCATCGGAAAACACATGTATAATTACATATTGTTTTTGTGATTAATCACTATGCTTTAATTATGTTCAATTTGTCACAATGAAATTGGGGGTCACCACAACATGAGAAACTGTATTAAAGGGTCGCAGCAGTGGGAAGGTTAAGAACCACTGGCTTAGGGGGTATTGTTCACATGGCCCTCTAACGTGTTTGTTTCATGGAAGTAGGTTGATTTATATTTTCTGCTTGTGCTTCTTGGCATAAAACATGTCCCACGACCTGAAGAAAAGTCTGGAGGCTTAGGCTAGTAAAAAAGGAGAAAGACTTATTCAAGGGTCTTACAGTTTACCCACTGGGAACACAGGCAAAAACCAAGAAGTGCTCCATAAAGGAAAGAAAAGTTCAATTTTTCTTATGGTCAAAAGTACATTCTTGAGAATTGTCAGTCCTGCATTCTTAGCCCTGGGATTCGCCCAGGACGGTCATCAGTCAGGTGTCGGGGAGGGTGATGGGTGCCAGGTGGGCTCGAGGGTGGGCACCAGGGGTTTGATCCCATCTGGTGGTCTGGGGAATGGGTGTCAGGTGCTGGACACTGAGCCCTTCAGAGGGCAGTCAGAGTTATCTGGAGGCCTGGTGTCTGTCCAGGGGCATATCTGGGCACTGGATCTGGACCGGAAAGTTCAGAAAGTTTAAGTTCCCAGGCCAGTTAGAACAAGAATGGAACCTTTCCTCCGGCCTCAACCTTCATAATGGGAATGATTTTAGCAGTTTGGTTAAAATGATTCCATCCTATATAATAAAAGCCTGGGCAGAACGACCAGTCGCTATGACACACAATGACCACCAGGGGGCAGACACTCAATGCAGGAGCTGCCCCCTGGTGGTCAGTGTGCTACCACAGTGGGAGTGCCACTCAGCTGACCAGGATGAGCTGCTGTGCTGTGAACCCGGGCAAACAGGCAGGAACCTGGGCTGCGATCGTTGCCTCCTCACCCCAGGCTCCTCCTCCTGGCTCCCTGCTGCCTCCTCTGGACACCCACAGGTCACACCGTGCTGCCATTGGGCTTGCAGAGCTGACCCTGGAGGCTGGGAGGCGGGTTCGTGGCCACGTGGGACTGAGGCCTACTCCACCACCTCTGTTGTCCCTGGGCCGGGCCCCAATCAGGTCCCCTGGAGAGGCGAGTGCTCCGGCTCCATGGAAGATGCCAGACCAGGGAGCAGCCGCTCAGAGGGAGGGTCCACAGCCGCTCGGCTGACCGGGATGAGTGCTCCCACAGTGTGCCGATCCCCGCAGGCCACGCCCCCCACCAGTGCATGAATCCTGTGCACTGGGCCTCTATATATTTCCTATCTCTACTCAAACTATACAAAAAAAGTAAATCTTTTTACCATGCTTTAACACTAGAACAGTCTAGAAGCCAGTGCAAAATAAAACAGAAATCTCAGACTTTGCTTGCAGGAGGAAAAGAGACCTGGTTGGTAAATTCAGTGCCCATGTGTCCTGAGTGTGGGCAGAGAGGGGAAGGGTGGTGAGTGGGAGCGCCCCCTGGCGGGACTGGCCGGCAGTCTGCTGTGAGGTTGCCCCGGGCGGCAAAGCCCTTTGGCCCTGGAGGCCCAGGCACCTGCTGTTGGCAAGTGGAGTGTGTCCTCATGTTGGGGCGCATCTCTGTTCAACCGAGCTCCTGGGATCCAGTCATAGGAGGGGAATGCCCCCTTCCCTGGCCTCCGAGGGAAGCCGTGTCTGGGCGGGAGGTAATGTGGTGAGTGTGACTCAGAACGCGGGTGGTTAGGGAGTGGACGATCGATGACGTCAGGCTAATGTATGAGATGCGTGCACGACATGACTAGCTGACACACGGGCTTCCCCGGGCGGGGCGTGGTGCTGTAAGTGGTGCTTTATGCTTGTTGACTCATTTAATCCTCCCAACAACCCCCCTGTTATTATCCCCATTTTATTTCCTCTTTCTTTTTTAATCCTCTCCTGAGGATATTTTCCCTTTGATTTTAGAGAGCGTGGAAGAGAGAGGGAAAGAGAGAGAAACACTGATGTGAGGGAACCACATCGATTGGTTGCTTCTTGCACGAGCCCGACCAGGGCCCGGGCCAGAGAGGAGCCTGTAACTGAGGTGCGTGCCCTTGACCAGAATCGAACCTGTGATCCTTTGGTCTGCAGGCCGATGCTCTGTCCACTGAGCCACACCTGCTAGGGCTATTGCCCCCAGTTTACAAGTGGGGAATTGAGGCCTCAGGCGACTTGCTAAAGGTTGCACAGCTAGGAAACATTTGCCATCCCTGGTGTTGGTGGCTCTTCGTTGCTGGTTGTTTTTTTCCCCTTTTAATTTACTTAAAATTTTTATTTATTGACTTGAGAGAGAGACAAAGAGAGAGAGAGACATTTGTTCCTCGTATTGATGATTCATTGTTTGATGCATACCCGTATGTGACCTGACTGGGGATGGAACCTGCAACCCTGCATGTGGGGAGCGCGCCGTAGCCGACGGAGCTGTCCCGCCGGCGCGGGTTTCTTTTTACTCGGTTGTTTCTCGGCTCTGCCTTTTGGTTTGCTAGTCGCTCTGCAGTGGTGATTGGCCGGCCAGGGGACCCTTCTGTTGAAGGCGACTTGTCTAGCTCTGATCTGGTATGAGTTTGATCTTGGGGTTTTAGCTCAGAAGGCAAACCTGTTTTCCCCTCAGCATTCTTAGAAGTAAATGCTCGCGGCCGCAGCTGAACAGGCACCTGTTATTTATTAGCCTGAAACCCGGGAGCGAAGGGCGAGCGGTAAAGCAGGCTTGTCCCCGTTAATCCCGCCAGATGCGGTCATTCTGCTGTGGAAGGTGAACGACAGCAAGGAGCCCGAGCAGGTGGCCTTCCAGGACGAGGACGAGGCGGAGCTGAACAAGGAGAACTGGACGGTGGTGAAGACGCTGAGGTGCCGGGGGCGGGGCTGGTCCTCCCCGAGGGCTGCATTCAGCTGACCGTGCGCTCTGACTTTTGTATCTCCCTTGAAACTTTTCCGTATGCAAGACAGAAATAAGAGAATGGTTTTAAAAGAGAAAAGCATGATTAAAATGGATTTCCTGAGTTTCTGCTAACAAGTAAAATCGAATCAGTTTTAAAGACAGATATCCTTGGATGTGGTCGGTTGTGGCTGTAGCTCAAATAGTCCCAGCGGCAGTTTCTAACATCCCATTCTAACGTGTGGTGCCTGGGTCTGCCTTTAAACTTCTTGTCCTCTTTCTCTCCTTTCCCCCGTCCCCCTCTGGATTCCAGGGGCCACCTAGAAGATGTGTACGATATCTGCTGGGCCACCGATGGCAATTTGATGGCTTCCGCCTCTGTGGACAACACAGCCATCATCTGGGACGTCAGTAAAGGTAGCTGATACGCATTTGTTATTATCTGGGGAGGAACATCCTACGTGTCTACAAAGCCTAACCTGCTTTATCTTTAAAGGCATCAGACGCGTTTCTTTAAGGAGCGAAAACGAGTTGGGGATTAGCCCAGGTGCCGTGTATCCAGCTCAGTTTGAGGGTCCTGGGCAGGAAGCCTGGGTTTAGGGTGGTGCCCTGAGTCCCTGGTGCCGAGCAAGGTGGGTGCCCCGTGCCCAGGAGGCAGCCTTGGAGGGACAGCTGACCCCTGCCCTCGTGGCACTTAGCTCTGGGGAAGTCTCCATTCAGGGGCGTTCCCCGCTCCGTGTTGATAGGCAGGACCAAGGTTCCATTTCAGGAGGTGAAGGCACTTTGCTGCCTTTAAAAAAAAAAAAAAAGTATTTCTATTGATTTCAGAGAGGAACGGAGAGAGAGATAGAAACATCAATGATGAGAGAGAATCACTGGTCAGCTGCCTCCTACACGCCCCACACTGGGGATCGAGCCTGCAACCCGGGCCTGTGCCCTTACCGGGAATCGAACTTGGTGCAAGGGTTGATGCTCAACCACTGAGCCATGCCAGCCAGGCCCTCACTGCTTTGAAAGAACCTGTTCTCTAGTTGGGGATGCAGTAGACACGTGAGAAGTTACCTGCCGGGGTTCTTGTTCCTGCATCAAGAAGTGTTCAGGAATCTGGAGAAGGCTGTGTGTAGATTAAATAGGAGTCCAGAGACGAAGTATAATTTTGAAAGGCAATTGGGGGTCAGGAGCCTAGTTTAAAGGAAACTAAGATCTAAGTTCTCCTCGTCTCAGGACCCCATGCTTTTTATTAACACAATTTGTCCTGAGGCGAGGCAGAGATATACACTTCAAAGGGTAGGGTTTTCATATACAGAGGCATTGTCAGAATGGAAGAATTAGCCTATGGCTGTTCAGGTGTTTGGCCAGTAGGAGGCAATATCATGTAGATTAAGATGCCCTGAGCTGTCTGGCAGCCAAGCAATCATCCCTTTTCAGGTTTGGGGAAATGCCTTCAGCCATTCCCAACAGGTGACTACATGTGTGATTCACCCCTTGTTAAGTCCCTAAGTTCCATCAACTTTTTGATGAAACTCTTGCAATTATGACATGCTAGAATTGGTTTCTGGCAGTTATCCAATCTAATAAAAGAGAAACATAGTAATTGGCGTACGACCACTACCCTTCCCATTGGCTAATCAGGGAGATATGCAAATTAACTGCCAGCCAAGATGGTGGCCAGCAGCCAGGCAGCTTGAAACTAACATGAGGCTTGCTTGCTTCAGTGACAGAGGACTCCAACGTTCCCTACCTGCCGCTGCCGGCCTCTAAACTGCAACTCTAAGCAACTATGTAACAAATATAGAAGCTAAACAAAACCCCAGAAACCTGCTTTAGTCTGCCGGGCTTCAGCCAGCAGATTCGCAACATTGTAAGCAAAGGCCAGAAACCTATTTTCAGCAGCGGAGGCCTAAGAGCTGGAGCCAAGCCTCAAAGCTAAAGCTGGCCCAGAATAAAAAAAAAAAAAGAAAAAAAGGAGCGGTTGGGAGCTTCAGTCACCCCCAGCCTGAAAACAGGCCTCAGCCCCTCACCCAGACTGGCCAGGCACCCCAGTGGGGACCCCCACCCTGAAGGGTGTGTCACCAGCTGCAAACAGCCATCATCCCCTCTCCCAGGCTGGCCAGGCACCCCAGTGGGGACCCCCACCCTGATCCAGGACACCCTGCAGGGCAAACAAGCCGACACCCATCAGTGCACCAGGCCTCTACCCTATATAGTAAAAGGGTAATATGCCTCCCAGCACCAGGATCAGTGGAGCCGCGAGGCCTCCCGGCACCGGGATCAGCGTGACGGGGCAGCGCCCAAATCCCCTGATCGCCCTGTGGCTCTGTGTGTGACAGGGTGCGGGGCCACAACCTCCCTATCCACCTGCTCTGTTCGTGACAGGGGAAGGCGCCCCAACCCCCTGATCAGCCCTGCTCTGTGCCTGATAGGGGGGAGCTCCCCAACCCCCTGATCGGCCCTGCTCTGTGTGTGACAGGGTGCGGCGCCCCAACCCCCCCACCCCCTACAGGCCCTGCTCTGTGTGTGACAGGGTAGAGCCATAACCTCCCCATTGGCCCTGCCCTGAGTGTGAGAGTGGCGGTGCCCCAACCCCCTGATCGGCCCTGCTCTGTGGGTGATAGAGGGCGGCGCACCAACCCCCTGATGGGCCCTGCTCTGTGCGTGGCAGGGTACAGAGCCCCAACCCCCCTGATGAGCCCTGCTCTGTGAGTGACAGGGGGAAGTGCCCCAACCCCCTGATTGGCCCTGCTCTGTGCGTGATAGGGGGTGGCGCCGCAACCTCCCCATCGACCCTGCCTTGAGTATGACAGGGGGCGGTGCCCCAACCCCCCAATCGGCCCTACCCTGAGCGTGACTGAGGGTGGCATCACAACCTCCCGATCACCCTGCTCTGTGCATGACGGGGGAGCGCCCCAACTCCCCAATCGGACCTGCTCTGAGCCCGACCAGGGGCTGCACCTAGGGATTGGGCCTGCCCTCTGCCACCGGGAGCAGGCCTAAGCCAGCAGGTCATTATCTCCTGAGGGGTCCCAGACTGCGAGAGGGCACAAGCTGGGCTGAGGGACCCCCCTCCCCCCCCGAGTGCACAAATTTTTGTGTACCGGGCCTCTAGTTTATATTAATAAAAGGGTAATATGCTAATTAGGGAGGATGTCCTTCCAGACAAAGCCATAGCAGCTGCAAGGGCCGAGGGAGCTCAGATCGGGCCAAGGCTGTGCTGGCCGTGAGGGCCAAGGCCCGGTCCAGCACCGTGGTCCCTTTTGCAGAGGCTGCGGGAGAAGGCAGCACCGTGGGAGAAGGGAGAAGGTGGCAGTTAGGCAGTTAGGGGGATCAGGCCAGGAGGGGAGAGCAGTTAGGCAGTTATTGGGATCAGGTAGGAGGGGAGAGCAGTTAGGCAGTTAGAGGGATCAGGCTGGCAGGGGAGAACAGTTAGGCAGTTAAGGGGGTCAGGCTGGCAGGGGAGAGCAGTTAGGGGCATCAGGCTGGCAGAGGGTTAGGGGGATCAGGCAGGCAGGCAGGCAGGTGAGTGGTTAGGAGCCAGTGGTTCCAGATTGCGAGAGGGATCCTGGATTGGAGAGGGTGCAGGCCTGGCTGAGGGATCCCCCCAACCCCCCTATGCACGAATTTCGTGCACCAGGTCTCTAGTAGGAATATAAAGAGCAATGAAAGCTACAGCTCAGTAGCGGCTGATACCTAGTCCTGCAGTCCTTCACTCAGGCGTGATGTTTTCTCCCAGCCTCTTCCTCCCTTTCCCGTCGTGCAGGCTGGTGTGATTCTCCTGCCACCACAGTCCCCTTCCATCCCCTCTGTACCAGCTGCTCTTTTATCTGGGTGCTGTCAGCTACCCCATCCTCTAGCTTACCTCGCTCGATCATCCCCTGTCTCCGTCACGCTCTTTCTAATGGACGACGAGTGTCACTTCTTCTCATCCCCAAATCTGACCCTTGTCCTGGACAGTCCTGCCAGCGCCCCGGTAATGAACTTGAACATGCCAGCATGCCGGGCACTGTCGCAGGTGCTGGGAGAGTACACGAACAAGGTGGCAGCCTCCTACGGGTGTCAGGTAGTAGAGGCGGTAGGGTCGGGGAGTGGAGGTCATTCGGGAAGGCTCAGCCCGTGGGGTTTGAACAGAGGCTTGAATGAATTTGGGCAGCAAGCGGGGTGCGCTATTTTGGGAAGAGCATTCCAGCTGTGGGAACAGCAAGTGCAGAGGCTGTGTGTGTGGAGGAAATGGACTGTACAGGAGGTGGGGTGGGCTGGGCTGGGCTGGGGGACTGAGGGTGGAGCGGGGAGGGGCCCGGCCACAGCCTTCTGTGACCCATGGTGCCGAAGGGTTTGAGCAGGAGAATAAGGGGATTTTAAAAAGACGCCTCCAGGTGGCATGTGGCAAATGGGTCCTAGGACACAGGTGGGAGCCCGGGGCGCTGTCAGTGGTGCAGGAGTGATTCAGGGGGTGACAGTGCTAGGCTGGGTGCTAGTGATGGAAGGGGGTGGCAGGGTTGGGTTGGGACATACTTTGTAGAAAGAGCTGACAGGGTTTGATGCATTGGCTGTAACTCCGAGCTTTTTGACAACCAGGTGAATATTGGAGCCATTTCCTGAGCTGGACCACGGGGGTGGGCGTGGAGGTGGAAGTTGAGGGGGGCTGGGGAGCAAGCTTAGCAGGAAGTGTGGGAATCAGGGTCACGTCTCAGACCTCTGTCTTATGTGGGTAAAGGTGTGTTTTTTTAAAAAATATGTAACATAAGCAACTTATTTAAAGTCAATATTTTAAAAAAATTTATTTTTACTGGTTTCAGAGAGGAAGGGAGAGGGAGAGGGAGAGAGAGATAGAAACATCAATGATGAGAATCATTGATCGGCTGCCTCCTGCACACCCCACACTGGGGATCGAGCCTGCAACCCAGGCATGTGCCCTGACCAGGAATCAAACCATGACCTGGTTCACAGGTCGATGCTCACCCACTGAGCCACACTGGCTGGGCCAGTCGGTGCATTTTAATTTAAGGAATTCCTTATGTGCTGATTCCTGCTGCCGCCCAGCGCCTTGGCCCCTCCGTAGCCTGAGTCCTGTCTTCACGAGAGCACGCGGTCCCAGCTGTCACATCCCGTCAGTGTCAGGTCTTTTAGCTGCTCCACCGCTGACATCTGAAGCCCAGGGCCCACTCTCCCAGCACAGCCGTCTCCTTCAGTCCCCAACACCTTTTCTTTTCTTCCCGGAGCCTCGGTCTGAGCTCTGTTTCCTGGCCTGGTAGTCCCGGCCCCGTGCTCCCCCAGGGGCTGTTCATCAACACTCACTTCCCTCGCCCCTTCCTTCCATCCTTCCCACGAAGACAAACCCCAGGCCGGATCGGGTGACAGTCTCAGGTCCCAGTCCCAGACTGAGCGCAGCTGGTGTAACACCCGCCACCCTGCAGACTGGACCACTCCCCACCATCCTCACCAGCCTCAGGGTTTTTTTTATGGCCCCACCTGGGAGTCGGATTCCACTCCTGTTCTCCCCAAACCCCACAGGTCTCCTGTGCCCCCTTCGTCACCCTGGTCCCCGTCACCCCAGCAGACTGCCTGGACAGAGTTTAAGGAAGGAGCGGGGGAGTTAGCCTGAAGCATGCACATTGTACATGGGTAGGCGCTGGCAGCTGTGGGGGCCAGCTTTGTGGGTGGTGGGGAGGGGACGCTGCAGCAAAGAGGGCTGGGGGCATGGCAGAGGGCTGGGGGTTGAATGGCAGAGGGCTGGGGGAATGGCAGAGGGCTGGGGGCATGGCAGAGGGCTGGGCGGATGAATGGCAGAGGGCTCGGGGGAGTGAGCAGGGAAGGCACCTCAGAGAGCTGGGTCCTGGTGCTCCTAGCATGGCCAAGGCTTCATGACTTCCTCTCTCTTCAGGTGGTCTTCTGGTTTTCCTTCTACCTCCCACCGCCAGTCCCTGTCCATCCCTGCGAGTGCTGCTCGGGTTAAGGCCCTCTCTCTCACCTGGTCTACCCTCACCTCCTAACCAGGGGCACTCCCCATGGTCTTTTCAAAACCTCAGTTTTGCCCTGGCCAGTTTCTCAGTAGTTAGAGCATCGGCCTGCCTACCGAAGGGTCTCGGGTTTGATTCCAGTCAAGGGCACGTATCTGGGTTGCAGGCTCGATCCCCAGCCCCAGTGGGGGCACGTGTGGGAGGGAACTGGTGGATGTCTCTCACATCAGTGTTTCTGTCTGTCTCTCCCCCTCTTCCATTCTCTCTAAAAAACCAATGGGAAAATACATGGGTGAGGATTAACAAACAAAACGCCAAAAGCTCCCTCAGGTTCATCCTTACCACCAGGTCACTCCCTCTTGGTGCTCCTCTTAGCCGCACCGTGAGTGCCCGGGGCCTTTTCCTCGTCCAGGGCTCCTGTCGCCCACCCTCCTTCCTCCTCATCTTGTCAGTTTGGCCCTTTACCTTCCCCCTGGCAGTCCGCAGCCACTGCCATGGCTCCCTCTCCCCATGCGTCTGCTTAGTCCACCTCCTTTCCTTTCACTGACCCCTTTGCCCTGCCTGGTCCCGCCACCGGCTCTGAGCGCCTGGGGATGGGGCTGTACAGGACCTGTGTGGCCTGAGCCTGACCCAGTGTTGGGGGCAGTCCCCCTGCTGCCTGCTGAAGGCAGAACAGTGTCAGGACAATGACACTGACTGCAGTGTCCACTCTGGTGCGGGAGTAGGTTTTGGTTATGCTGTTGTGTGCTTCTCTCGTAGGACAGAAGATCTCGATTTTTAATGAACATAAAAGTTATGTACAAGGAGTTACCTGGGATCCTTTGGGCCAGTATATTGCGACCCTGAGCTGTGATCGGTACGTGAGTATTGGAAGAATTGTCTTCATATCTGTTTACTTAAAACTTTCTGCTGAGGTATTTTATCACAACTTAGCCAATATAAGCCATGGTTCTAGCTTTGGTTCTTTGAGTCTCAATTTCATAGAAAGAATTTGTTTTCTTATTCTTTCAATATAAGAAACATTGGAAACTAATCAGAGCAAGTACCTTACACAAAGTTAGTACGTAGTAAGTCTATAGAATGGGTGGATGTCATAGGTTGATGCTCAACCACTGAGCCACGCCGGCCGGGCTAGGTGAATGAATGCAGAAAGAGCTTAGAATTAGATCTGAATTTCATGGGCAACTTTTAAAGAAAAGATCTTTTATGATAACTACTAGAGGTGGGGACCCTCAACCTGGCCTGTACCCTCTCACAATCTGGAACCCCTCGGGGATGTTGGAGAGCTGGTTTTGGCCCAATCCCCACAGGCCAGGCCGAGGGACCCCACCAGTGCACGAATCCGTGCACCGGGCCTCTAGTATGCATATAAGATCTTTGGTTAATCTCTTCTTGCCCTCCCCGTTCCCCCTTTCCCTCTGAGATTCATTAGTCTGTTCCATGTTTCCATGCCTGTGGTTTCTGCTCCTGTGTTGAGCATCTGCTCCCTGGTGGTCAGTGCATGTCATAGCTGCTGGCCGGTCAACCAGTCACTTAGGCTTTTATATATATAGACTAGAGGCCCAGTGCACAAAATTCGTGCACGGGGGCGGGGGGTCCCTCAGCCCGGCCTGCACCCCCTCCAATCTGGAATCCCTCTCTTAATCCAGGACCACGGGCTCCTAACCGCTCACCTGCCTGCCTGCCTGATCGCCCCTAACCACTTTCCCTTGCTGGCCTGATTGCCCCTAACTGCTCTCCCCTGCTGGCCTGATCACCCCTAACTGCTCTCCCCTGCCGGCCTGATTGCCCCTAACTGCCTCTGCCTTGGCCCCCGCCACCATGGCTTTATCCGGAAGGACGTCCAGTCTAATTAGCATATTATCCTTTTATTAGTATAGATGACTTAAGCAGAGGTACCAATGGTAGGGCTAGATATTGGTTTCCTTTTGTTGCCACTGCAGTGATTTTAAGGAGACTGTTTAATATAAAAGTAAACTCTCACGTCCCTTTCGAAAGGAGGACCTACTGCCATGTTTACTGGTGAATCACATTGAGTTGTGTCCTTGGAACAAAGAATTTTTTTTTAAATCAGGAGTTCCAAGCATATTACTCATCAGTCAAAATGGCCCTTTTCAGTATTTATCGACCACTTTTCATCGTAGCAGGTCTCATTTCAGGTGCCCGGGAATGAGAGTAAGTGGGGAGCTGGTGTGTGTTTCCCTTCACAGGCCACAGATTGCCTAGGCCGCCCTCCGTGTGGGTGACAGTGTTTCTGTGAGACAGTTCATTGGCCAGAAGAGCGAGACCGGACTTTCCTTTCCCTTTAGGACCCTGAGGGTGTACAGCACACAGAAGAAGCGCGTGGCTTTCAACGTCTCGAAGATGCTGGCGGGCGCGGGCGCCGAGGGAGAGGTAGGAAGGAGATGCCCGGGCTTTGCGTGGCAGCCGCGATGCAGTGGAGCGGAGGCAAGTCTGAGCTCCTCCGTGCCTTGCAGCTTAATCAGTCTCAGCGACACCTGAACCCCAGTGAGGGTTCCCCTCGGGCAGTCGGGGCCCGGCTAGGGTGGTGGGCCGGCCTGTCTGGCGCCAGGGGAGCCGATGATGGGGGCTAGTGATTTCCAACCAGGCTGCCCGTGGAGTCACCAGGAAAGCATTAAAAACTACGGGGGCCTGGCCACCCCAGAGCTGGGCTAACCCAGCCGGAGATGGGCAGGCCTCCGGAGTCCGAGGTGTGGATTCGAGGTGTGGATTCGAGGTGTGGCTTCTGAGGTGTGGATTCCGAGGTGTGGATTCGAGGTGTGGATTCTGAGGTGTGGACTCCGAGGTGTGGATTCTGAGGTGTGGATTCCGAGGTATGGATTCTGAGGTGTGGATTCGAGGTGTGGATTCTGAGGTGTGGACTCCGAGGTGTGGATTCTGAGGTGTGGACTCCGAGGTGTGGATTCCGAGGTGTGGATTCTGAGGTGTGGATTCGAGGTGTGGATTCGAGGTGTGGATTCCGAGGTGTGGATTCCGAGATGTGGATTCGAGGTGTGGATTCTGAGGTGTGGACTCCGAGGTGTGGATTCGAGGTGTGGATTCCGAGGTGTGGATTCGAGGTGTGGATTCCGAGGTGTGGATTCGAGGTGTGGATTCTGAGGTGTGGACTCCGAGGTGTGGATTCTGAGGTGTGGATTCGAGGTGTGGATTCAAGGTGTGGATTCGAGGTGTGGATTCCGAGATGTGGATTCGAGGTGTGGATTCGAGGTGTGGACTCCGAGGTGTGGATTCTGAGGTGTGGATTCGAGGTGTGGCTTCTGAGGTGTGGCTTCTGGGGTGTGGATTCCGAGGTGTGGATCCTGAGGTGTGAATTCGAGGTGTGGATTCGAGGTGTGGATTCCGAGGTGTGGATTCGAGGTGTGGATTCTGAGGTGTGGATTCCGAGATGTGAATTCTGAGGTGTGGATTCCGAGGTGTGGATTCGAGGTGTGGATTCCGAGGTGTGTACTCCGAGGTGTGGATTCTGAGGTGTGGATTCGAGGTGTGGCTTCTGAGGTGTGGATTCCGAGGTGTGGCTTCTGAGGTGTGGATTCCGAGATGTGAATTCTGAGGTGTGGATTCCAAGGTGTGGATTCGAGGTGTGGATTCTGAGGTGTGGATTCGAGGTGTGGCTTCTGAGGTGTGGATTCCGAGATGTGAATTCTGAGGTGTGGATTCTGAGGTGTGGATTCGAGGTGTGGCTTCTGAGGTGTGGATTCCGAGGTGTGGACTCTGAGGTGTGGATTCCGAGATGTGAATTCTGAGGTGTGGCTTCTGAGGTGTGGATTCCGAGGTGTGGATTTTTAGGTGTGGATCCTGAGGTGTGAATTCTGAGGTGTGGACTCCGAGGTGTGGATTCCGAGATGTGAATTCTGAGGTGTGGATTCTGAGGTGTGGATCCCGAGGTGTGAATTCTGAGGTGTGGACTCTGAGGTGTGGATTCTGAGGTGTGGATTCGAGGTGTGGCTTCTGAGGTGTGGCTTCTGAGGTGTGGATTCGAGGTGTGGCTTCCGAGGTGTGGATCCCGAGGTGTGGATCCCGAGGTGTGGATCCCGAGGTGTGGATCCCGAGGTGTGGACTCCGAGGTGTGGATCCGAGGTGTGGACTCCGAGGTGTGGACTCCGAGGTGTGGATCCCGAGGTGTGGACTCTGAGGTGTGGACTCCGAGGTGTGGACTCCGAGGTGTGGATCCCGAGGTGTGGATCCCGAGGTGTGGATCCCGAGGTGTGGACTCTGAGGTGTGGACTCTGAGGTGTGGATTCCGAGGTGTGGATTCCGAGGTGTGGACTCCGAGGTGTGGATCCTGAGGTGTGGATTCCGAGGTGTGGACTCTGAGGTGTGGATTCTAGGTGTGGATTCCGAGGTGTGGATTCCGAGGTGTGGACTCCGAGGTGTGGATTCCGAGGTGTAGCATGGGTGGGGCATGCTGGTTGGAGGATCCCGGCACGAGGTGCGGAGGCAAGTGGTTTGGGGTGGCTGGCCCGGCAGCAGGCAGTGCAGACAGCATCTTGGCAGGAAGATGGAGGATCTGGGCGCAGAGAGCAGGGACCGGTCATCGGGCGGCTCAGGAACAGGAGGGATTTCGACCTTAGGAAGAAGTGGCGAATGAAGAGAGGTCCTAGTCCTGCAGGAATGGAGGCTGCGGAAGCAGGTGCTTCAGCAAAAGGGAGCCAGCCAGTCGGTTATTGGCACAAAACAGGGACCGGGCGCCGTCCAGGCCTAGGGGCTGGTGACGGCCGCGTGGGCCGTGGCTGGCGGTGCGGGCGGTCACGCGCTTTGGGAAGCGAGGGTGATGCTTCCCCGGGTTCCTGGAACTAATGCCCCAATGTTCCTGAAGTGGGGGCGCACGCAGCCCTTCCACAGGGAGCTCGAGAAGAGTGGTTCGGAAAGATCTGGCTGCCAGTTTAATGATCACTACATCCTTTTAAATGCTTTTATTCGGGTGGAAATTCTCAGTTACACACGGACAGCAAGCAGAGGGCTCGGTCACCCTCTTGCTTTTCCCCAGTCTCATCCCCACACAAACCAGTTACTCACACACGTGCACACACATGCACGCACACATGTGCACATACCCCCCTGCGCACACGTGCACACACAAGCTTTCCTGAAAAAAAGGGCGATCCGTTCGTGGCTGAGTACTCTCGCAGTCCCACGGGAGTATTGGATTGGTGATATGTTGTTTCGGTTCTATTGATGATCGTCATAATGAATGGTCGCACGGGAGGAAACGGTGAGCCTTTCTGGGAGGCTGGGGTGATGCTGACACTCTGTGCCTCAGGCCAGGAGTTACCGGATGTTTCACGACGACAGCATGAAGTCGTTCTTCCGGAGACTGAGCTTCACTCCCGACGGCTCCCTGCTGCTCACCCCAGGTGCGTGGAGCCGGGCTCGCGGGCGGGTGCAGGGCGGGCCCGCGTGTCGCCTCCGGGAGTGCCAGTGTCACATAGAAGGTGTGGGTTAGCATAAGGTGAAAATTGGAGAAAATGTAAGAGGAGGGAAACCAAGGAGGGTGGGAGAGAGGGAAAACGAAAGCGTTAGTTGCTGTGCAAGATCTCTTTCATGAGTAGTTGACTAAGAGAAGCAAAATAAGGAAAAGTCTAAATAACACCCCATTTTATAAAGTAAACTAAAGCCCGCTATGTGTGTATATATGGTTGTCAGGGTTACGTGAGCCTGGAGGGAATGCAGGGCTGGCGAGGTGTTTGTCAGAGTGGATCCTGGGGATGGAAGGATGGGGCGAGATGCTGCTGCCCTCCTGGTGGATACGCAGTGGTCACATGTGAGAGAATGTGTGCGCGCGTGTGTGCGTGCGTGTGCGTGTGTGCGTGTGTGTGTGCGTGTGTGTGCGTGTGTGCATGTGTGTGCGCGCGCGCTCATGCAGCAGGAGAAGACAAGGAGACGTGTCCAAGAGCAGCCGTGTCTGCAGGTCGCTCTCCGCTGGGTCTGGCTGTGCCAAGTGCGGCCTGGGGAGGGTGGAGTGGAGACGTCAGTGGGGCGGGCCAGAGCGGGTCAGCTCTGCAGGGCTGGGGTTTCGGCAGAGGGCTGTCTCCTGGCAGCTCCTGGCTCCGTCAGGCAGACGGGAAGAGGCCAGTCTCGGCCCTCGGACTGGATGGCAGCTGAGGTCGGGAAGCAGGCACAGAGCTTTATGTTCTTCCTGCCCTGGCCTGGGCGAGGCTCCGGGCGGCTGTGCCCTCAGGTGGCTGTGCCCTCAGGTGAGAGGAAGGTGGGTGGAGCCAGTGTGAGGCTGAGCCCAGGTGTGCGGAAGGTTTGTATTTGTCCCGATCGCACACACTGTCCAGGGAGTCCACCTCTTGGGAAAATGACTTTAAACCAGAATTGGCTGCCTTGGGTTTGCTGGTGGACAGTTTAATAACAGTGCCTCCCTGCCTCCCAGCCGGATGCGTGGAGTCTGGCGAAAATGTAACCAACACCACGTACCTCTTCTCCAGGAAGAATCTGAAAAGGTGAGCGCCTGAAGGACTCGGGGACGCCAGCCCTCTCTCTGCTTTTGTTGAGCATGGCCTCTCTAACCCAGCGGTTCTCAACCTGTGGGCCGCGACCCCTTTGGGGGTCAAACAACCCTTTCACAGGGGCCGCCTAAGACCATCGGAAAACACATACATAATTACATATTGTTTCTGTGATTAATCACTATGCTTTAATTATGTTCAATTTGTCACAATGAAATTGGGGGTCACCACAACATGAGGAACTGTATTAAAGGGTCGCGGCATTAGGAAGGTTGAGAACCACTGCTCTAACCCATGATTCGCCTCCAGGCCTGTGGCGCATCTCCCGTGTCCCGGAAAAGCCACGCTTGCTGTCCGCTGCTGCCCCGTCTACTTTGAGTTGAGGCCGGAGGCGGACACAGGTACATCAGAACCCAGCGGTGTCTCCTGTCAGGCAGGCCACCAGGGCGGGTGGGGTTTGGGTTTTAGTCGCGGAAAGGTGGGCATGTGGGTTTGGCTCAGTTTGGTTACTCGGAGGAGTTGGAACAGAGACTGATGTTACCAAACTGTGTATCCGTTGTTGGCAGCATCTAGAACACACTGTCTTTGCTTAGGGCAACCTAAAAATATATATATACATATATATATACATATATATATATATGTATATTTATTGATATCAGAGAGAGAAACATCAATGATGAGAGAATGATTGATCGGTTGCCTTCTGCACGCCCCCTACTGGGGATCAAGCCCACAACCCGGGCACGTGCCCTGACTGGGAATCGAACCGTGACCTCTTGGTTCCTGGGTTGATGCTCAACCACTGAGCCACACTGGCCGGGCATCTCTTTCCTGTTCTTGCTTGGGCCTTGGGTCGCTTCCCTACCCGCATGCACCGGCCAGTGCTCAGCTCAGACAACGGGCCCCGCAGGTCCCTGCTGCAGCCTGGAGCCTCGCTCTAGCCCTGCAGCTCAGGGCACGTGTGGGCACTGCCGGGTTCCCTCCCTCTGCTGGGCCTGGAGACCAGGCGGTGAGCTGAGGCTGCGGCAGCACATCATGCCTTTACTTCCCACTGCTTGGGGGTCGCTGGCCTTCACTGCTGCTGGGCAGTCAGTGTCTTAAGAAGTCGGAGGCTAAATTGGGGCCCTGTTGCTCCAAGGCTGGAAGTGGGAGCTGTTTTTCACCTCTAAAGTCTCATGCGAATGAATATAATGAACTGGAAAGAGCATGAAAACATCACTTGATACAATGTTTCCGTGTGACCCTGTATTTCCTTATCAGAAATGCTCTTCCTTTTGCACCTCGGTGCCCAGGATTCTTGGACCCTGTCATGTGTCATTGGTTCACGCATAGTTCTCGTTCATTCCTGCATCTATATATATAAAAGCCTAAACGACTGTTACTGCTGAATGACTGGAATGATTGGTCACTATGACGTGCACTGACCACCAGGTGGCAGACACTCAATGCAGGAGCTGCCCCCTGGTGGTCAGTGTGCTTCCACAGCCAACCTCCCTTGGCTGGCAGCTGGCCAACCTCCCACGGTCCCTCTCCCCTCCTCCATCACCCCTGCACGAGTTCGTGCACCGGGCCTCTAGTTCATATATAAAATCCCTTTGCACGGCAGAGGAATTACATCCCATATGTCCCGGGGAGAGGGCTCGTGGCAGGAGTTGGTGGTTCCTGCGGGAGCCTGGCTGGTGCTGGTGTCACTGTCCTTCCTGCCCCGTGTCCTGCAGACGGGCCGGCCCCGGGGCCGCTGGTGCGCCTGCCCTACCGCGTGGTGTTCGCCGTGGCTTCCGAGGACTCCGTGCTCTTCTACGACACCCAGCAGCTCTTCCCTTTCGGCTACGTGTCCAACATCCACTACCACACCCTGAGCGACATCTCCTGGTGAGCGGCTGGGCCGGGCCGGGAAGGGGGCGTGGCAGCGCACAGACGGGGTCTCGGCCGCGTTTTCCCTGCAGAGGACGCTGCGGCCTGGCCTGACTTCGTTTCTAACTACAGTGAGAGCGGGACGAGGGCTGCAGACTTGGTAAAACTTAACCCTTTTCTCCTGCTCTGGGGACAAAGGTCCAGCGATGGGGCCTTCCTGGCCATTTCCTCCACCGATGGCTACTGCTCCTTCGTGACGTTTGAGAAGGGTGAGCTTGGAGCACCTTTCAAAGGGAAGCCGGATCTGAGCACGAGAACTCCTGAGACGGCGAAGAAAACCAAGCGCCAGACCCAACAGGAGTCCTCGCCGGGACCCCGGCTGGGGGAGGGCACCCCCGCCAGCAGAATCCCAGACCCCGGCAGCCCCTGCTCAGCACCCGCTCCGGGGAAGCCGTCCGCAGCCCCAGCGCCCAAGGACTCGCCCTCCACCGCGGCCACCGCCAGGGGCGCGGCGCCCAGGCCCTCGGAGGAGAAGAGCCCGCCCAGCAGTCAGACCCCAAAAGCGCCCCCGCCCCGGAGGGTCACCCTGCACACCCTGCAGGCCTGGAGCAAGGCACCCCGGTAAGGACCGGATGGAGGTGCCAGGGCCCCTGTCAGCAGGCGAAGTGCCGGCAGCACGACTCTGCTGCTCCCGAGTTTTTTTTCTTTAAAATATGTTTTTATTGATTTCAGAGAGGAAGGGAGAGGGGGAGAGAAACATCAGTGATGGGAGGGAATCATTGGTTAGCTGCCTTATGCACGCCCCCTGCTGGGGATCGGGCCTACAAGCTGGGCATGTGCCCTGACTGGGCATGTGCCAGGGCCCTTCAGCCCAAGGGCCGATGCTCTAGCCACTGAACCACACCAGCCAGGGCTCCAGAGGTTTCTTAACCTCATTCCGAGCGCCTCCTCCTGGCTCACACACCTGCGGGGGCCCCCACTTCCTACCTGTGGCACAGGTGTGGCTCCACCCGCAGGCCGGGACTGTCCGCGGTCACTCCCCTTCCCTGGTGCCTTCCTCTCCAGCCCGCCCCGGAAAGCCCGGCCCCCAGAGCACACCCGGCCTGGGGCCTCTGACCCACCTTCCTCCGGACGCCCGGACACTGCTCCCCGGGGACACTCGTGTCTTCCATCAGCCCTTCTCTCTGTCACACGTCACATTCGGGCCGGGGTTTCGTTTCTGCTGTTCCCCGTGAGGTGTGAGCCCCTCTGGCCCAGCACAGTGGCGGGCACTGCGCGGTGGTGGGCGCCTTGAGGCGTCTTGCCGCCAGCAGACGGCGCCTGGTGAGCTGGGAGTCTGTCGGCCGGCAGAGCATCCCGTTGGCGCAGTGCTGTGTGCCCCGGTTCTCATCAGGCAGCCGCAGATCGGCCCGAGGTCCCGCCGCCGCTGCAGAGAGGACCGCGCCCACCCCTGACCCCCTAACCCCCTAATCCCCAGCCCCCAGCAGCTGTGCTGGCCGGTTTCCTCCCTGGACGTCGGGGAAGTTACCTCCCGGCTCCATCTGCTGCCTGCTCACCGGTGCCCCACCTCCCGGCCTTCTAGACAGACTGCACCTTAGACAGACTCCTGGGGGCCGTTGGGCCGGGGGTGGGGGTGACAGAAGGTGCTGGAAGCACTGGGGCGGCTCTCTGCTGTGCTCACTCACGTGACTTCGCTGGCCGGTCCACCGCGGGGGTTGGGGGTGTCCTGCCCCGAGTCGGGTCTCTGCAGACCGGCGATGCTTGGTTTCTCTTCTGTGTGTTTTTGGGGCGGAGGGGAAGGTGTTCTGTGAAATATTTGGGGTATTTACGTTTTCCCCGCTTAGTGTCTTGCAAGCGTCTTGCAGTTGTTAATTTTGAAAAAGGAATAGTTGTTGGACAGTGAGGTTGTGGGTTTTAGAAAGAACGGCCTGTAGGGGAAGCCTGAGCAGGGCTGGGCGCACACTGGTGGCCGGCTGAGGGGTAAGCTGGCGTCAGGGCGGTGGCGACGTCAGGGCTGTGGTGACGTCAGGGCTGTGGTGACGTCACATGACCAGCGTGATCCGTGGCCACTAAGCCCGCGGGCGCGTCTCCGTGCATATAAACGCCTTGCGTGACATGACCAGCTGCTGCCTCAGGCGCCTCTGGGTGGTTTTGGAATGTGCTGTTAGACACAGTTCCTACCACACGGATTCACCATGCGCCTTCCCTTCTAACCAGGAGAGTGACCGTGATGCCCTTGAAGGCGGACGCCCCGAATTCTGCGCCAGGCGGTGTGGTTTCCGCCCCGCCCACGGAGGTCCAGCCAGGTGAGGGGTCTGGTCCTGGCTCCATGTCCTCGGGGGCAGAATATCTTCCCTTTTGTTCTTTTGGAAATGAACGTCCGCTAATTTTACGTCGGTTCTGAGAAAGCGAGGATGCACCTGACCTGGCCCCCCTGCAGACTCACTGGCCTGTTCATTCTCGGGGTTCCCCGCTTCCCCGGGAACACGGGGCTGGGTGCTGCCAGCAGGGGGTGCTGGGGTGCCTCTCGGCCTCGGCGCTGCTCACACGCTGGGCAGGTCAAGCTTGGTGGTGGGGCTGTCCTGTGTGGCAGGGTGTTCATTAGCACCCCCTGATGTTCCCGTCCCCCACTCCTGACACTCTAACCTGTCACCAGCTCGCCCGCTGTCCTGGGAGGCACAGTGGCCCCTGGGGTTGAGACCCACTGGCAGACTCTCCATTCTAGGCACATAGGACCTTGCCAGGCAGTTTACTCCTTGTCTGGGCACAGAATTTTAAAACAAATATATTTTTGTTGATTTCGGAGAGGAAGGGAGAGGGAGAGAAAGATAGAAACATCAATGATGAGAGAGAAGCATCGATCACTTGCCTTCTGCACGCCCCACACTGGGGACCAAGCCTGCAACCCGGGCATGTGCCCTTGACCGGAATCGAACCCTTCAGTCCGCAGGCCAGTGCTCTCTTCATTGAGCCAGACCAGCCAGGGCCAGGATGTGTTGTGTAGCATCAGCTCTTAACTTAAGTCTTGCTTACTTGGCAGCCTTGTCGGTGAACGCTTCAGAGCCGCCTGGAGACGTGCAGGTCAGCCCCCCGGAGCGGAAGCGGCCCCGGCCCGCAGAGGACAGAGGCGGCGCCCAGGGGCTGGAGCCGGGGGGAGACCTGGCTTGTGCTTGAAGGCTGCACGGCTGGGGACTCCCATCGCTCGGGGAAGGGCCGACGACCCCAGGTCGGGGCGTCAGAGGAGCCTGGTGGGCCCCCGACCTGATTCCTGGACCAAGCTGCACGTGGCCGGCGTCCCCCAGCGAAGGGTCTGCTCCTGCCTTCGTGTGAGTTTGCCTGAGACGCGGACATGTCACCGGCCCAGCCCCCCCCCCCCTCCCGACACGTTTCTGGAGCTGGACCCGTCGAACATTATCCGGTGTGAACACCAGTCGCTCCTCCCGGAAAGCCTGCGGAAGCGAGGCCCTCACGGGGGCCTGGTGAACGCCGGGTGTTCGAATGGTTATCAGATTTCCCTTGTACATAGGGGGCTAGCTTTTAGCAGTTTGTTCTATTTGCGTTCTGATTTTAAAGGTAATAATGCTTCTTCTAAACAGTTAGTAAACCGGCGTGAAGGGGAAAAGCAGTTGGGGGTAGGGAGCTTCGTCCTCCCACCCCTGCTTTGGCATAAAGACTGTTTCATTCTTTTTAAGGAGAGAGGTGAGATTTTACTTGAGATACAATTTGGTATCCAAATAGGTTAACTTTTTAGGTTGATTTTTCAAAGAAGAAAAAGTAACTTAGTGATTTACGCCTGTGCCTCTGCTTTCACCGTCCAGGGTGAGGGTGGGAGGGTGAGGGCACGGGTGGGGTGGGGGTGACAGGTCTCTGTTTCTGCTGGGAAGACTGAACGGGGGCTGTGGCTGCAGGAGGCACGGGGTGGGTGCCCAGCGGCGGCCCACATGTGGCAGGTGGCTCCCCGCTGAGGAGCTGGCGCTGAGAAGAGCTGTCACTGGGAATGTCCGGCAGGGCCTGATGCCTGTCACTTTGGCGTGATGAACGCGAGGCACGCAGATGAGGGTGCTGGCCCCGGGGCTGCCTTCTCCTCGGGTGACCTCAGCATGAATGTGGGTGAGGGGCCAGGAGCTGCCCACCAGTCTTGGACAAGGACTAGGAGAGGCTCTTCAACTCAAGTCAGCAGCAGCAAAGAAAAGTCAGCCCAGCAGCTGGTGGCTCAGTGGTTAGAGCGCCGGCCTGTGGACCAGGGGGTTGCAGGCTCAATCCCAGCCCTGGTCAGAGCACATGCGGGAGGCAACCAATTGATGTGCCTCTCACATTGATGATTCTCTCTCTCTCTCCCTCCTGCCCTTCCTCTCGCTCTTCCTCCTTCCTCCCTTCCACTCTCTAAAAATAAATGGAAAAAATATCTGAGCCACGCCGGCCGGGCTAGTCATGTCTGTTTTGACCAGTGGTTCTCAAGCTTAGCTGCACATTGAGGTCCCTCAAGGAATTGATACCTGGGTTCTTCCCAGCCCCTCCCGGGACTCTGACGTGCAGCCGCTGGTGGGGATGGGAGAGGAGAGGGCTCCGTGGGGATGGGAGAGGAGAGGGCTCCGTGGGGATGGGAGAGGAGAGGTCTCCGTGGGGATGGGAGAGGAGAGGGCTCCGTGGGGATGGGGAGAGGAGAGGGCTCCGTGGGGATGGGAGAGGAGAGGGCTCCGTGGGGATGGGAGAGGAGAGGGCTCCGTGGGGATGGGAGAGGAGAGGGCTCCGTGGGGATGGGAGAGGAGAGGGCTCCGTGGGGATGGGAGAGGAGAGGGCTCCGTGGGGATGGGGAGAGGAGAGGGCTCCGTGGGGATGGGAGAGGAGAGGGCTCCGTGGGGATGGGGAGAGGAGAGGGCTCCGTGGGGATGGGAGAGGAGAGGGCTCCGTGGGGATGGGAGAGGAGAGGCTCCGTGGGGATGGGGAGAGGAGAGGGCTCCGTGGGGATGGGAGAGGAGAGGGCTCCGTGGGGATGGGAGAGGAGAGGGCTCCGTGGGGATGGGAGAGGAGAGGGCTCGTGGGGATGGGAGAGGGCTCCGTGGGGATGGGAGAGGAGAGGGCTCCGTGGGATGGGAGAGGAGAGGGCTCCGTGGGGATGGGAGAGGAGAGGCCTCCGTGGGGATGGGAGAGGAGAGGCCTCCGTGGGGATGGGAGAGGAGAGGGCTCCGTGGAGATGGGAGAGGAGAGGGCTCCGTGGGGATGGGAGAGGAGAGGCGTCCGTGGAGATGTTCTGTCCGGAAAGCTTTCTGCTGCTCTCTGCTTCATCGGACGGATGGGATGGGAGAGCTCGTCTGGGCTCCAGGCTGAAGGGGTGACGGGCGGGTGTGCTGCCCGCTCTCAGGGGAAAGGTCGCCTTCAGCGTCCCGTGGCTGGAGGGATGCCCCGGGCCGACAGGACCCACGGTGGGTCCCGTGTTCTCGGGGGCACCCCCGTGGAGGAGCACATGTCGTCCTCACGTCTGTCTCTGCAGCAGGAATGGACGGTGCGGGCACCTGCAGCGATGGACCTGTTTGTAGGTGGGACTCCTTGCCGCTCACGGCCACCTGGGACGAGAATGACCATGTCTCAGGCAAAGCCCAGGCGGAACCGTGTCCCGTCCCACCGCCTGTCCCCACCGCTGGTCACTGGGAGCCTTGGGCACGGCCCGCTGCGGCCCTGCCGTGCCCTCCGGTGGCCGCGTGGGTAGGACTCAGCGCGGATCTGGCCGGACGGGGTTGGTCGTCTGGCGCAGTGTGGCTGGTCTCCGGCGGCCCTTCCGTGGGTGGGAGTCCCTGCTGCTAGGTGGCCAGGAGCAGGTGCAGTTGGGCAGACGTCTGGGAGGACCCGACTGTGTCCCCGGAGCCTGAGAGTGTGACGTGGGGGCCAGGGCCTGCCCCCCTCCCCCCCCAGCCTGCGTCTGAAGGAGGAAAGCCGTGGGGCTGTGGGGGCAGCGAGGGTGAAGCTGCCGCACACACGGGCCCCACAGGGTGGGGGCCCCAGGGGGTGACCGGGCCTGGGCCACCAGGAAGGGCCTCAAGCAGGGGTCCACGAGGACGGGCACCTCAGCGGAGGTCAGGGTGGCCCCCCCGCCGCCCCCCCCCTCCTGCCCCCTCGAAAGCATATCTGCTGTGACCAGTGCGTGGGCCCTTTCTACCAAAACAGTGCCGGTCCTGGGCTCGGAAAGCTTCGGGGGGGGAGCATGGCGCCCACCCTCGAGCCTGGGGTCCCGGGGCTCCCGCAGCTCCTCTCTGTGTTACTTTGCTGTGTTTCGATCTGCTCACTCCCACCTGGTGCATGTGTGTGTCCGTCTGTCTCTCTGTGTCTTAGAGACAGACAGACCTCGGACAGATCAACTTCATCTGAAGGTCGTTTACAGCTCCAAACACTTGGACCTCGCCCCCTTCACAGGACAGAGATGAGAGGGGGTTAATTGGTTGTGGGTAAGCCAGATCCACTTCCCTCCGTGCACACGCACGCACATGCACATGCACACACGTGTACACATGCGCCTCCGCACTCTTGTGGCCGCTAGGTGGCACTGTCCCCACAGAATCTGCCCAGGAGTAGGGTGTCCTGTGTCTGAAGGCTATGCAGGCTGCTCAGCACCTCCTCCTCCTCCTCCTCCTCCTCCTCCTCCTCCTCCGAGGGGGTCTGTATCCTCGTCAGCCTCGGCCGGGGTGGCTGTGGCCGCAGCCCCTGGTGGCCACACCTGGAGGGCAGTCCTGCCTGCGTCAGCACCGACATGGGCAGCAGAGGGTGCTCATGGGGTCCCCTGTAGAGCCCTATTTCCCCCCAAGTTTTGGCTCTGAGAGGCCGTGCAGCAGCAGTACCGCCCCTTTAAGAGCTGTGGAAACAAACGCTCAGTAATGATGTGGGGTCGATGCCACCTGCTCTTTTTTAAAAAATATTTTTAAAATATTAAAACTGATTTTAGAGCGAGGAAGGGAGGGGGAGAGAAACATCGACCGGCTGCTGTGAGCACTCACTTCACAGCCCGGCATGTGCCCTGACCAGGAATAGGACCGGTGACCTTCCCTGAAGGTCACCTTCCGACCAGGAATAGGACCGGTGACCTTCCCACCTGCCGCCGGCCAGGGCCCGCCCTCTCCTTAACACTCAGAACGACCCGCTGTCTCCCACAGAACGTGCGCTGGGAAAGGCATTTCCAGGCCGTAACACGTCTGGAATAACTCGGGGTGGGTCCCTCCGCCCTCGGCCAGCGCCCTCGGCAGGTCTGAGAACCGCATGCTCGGGGGATGGGCGGGGGGGGGGGGGGGGAGTCACTGGGTCAGCCTCCAGGCCTGCCCTTCCCCCACAGCCCCTCTTCCCTCTCCGCCTCCTCCCAGCCGCAGCACCCCTCACCGGTGGGGTTTTACAAACAAAATAAACCCGGCTCCCGTCTGGGCTCTGTCCAGGCCCCGTAGCCAGCTATGGGCGAGGGAGACACCAGCCAGGCCATGCACTTAACGGACACTCAGGGGCAGTCAGCGCTGAACTGGTTGGTGAGACGTCAAATCTGGAGGATGCATCTGACAGGCTGTGCTCGGAGTTTACTAATTTCATGAAAAATATCTGTAATCTGCTGGCCAAGAGAGGCAAGATCTCGAAGAAAACCTTGCCGCCTGCTGCACGGTCACTGCTCCCACCGGAAGTTATGGGAAGGGGTTGATGCTGTCTTTTTGGAGCCAGTTCCACACTGTTCCAGCGAAGTGATGAATTTCAGTTCCTAGTGGAGTGAGTACTCGAGTAAGTCACTAGGGGGCGACAGTGCCAACCCTTAATTCTACTGTCAAATTTATTAACTAAGTTTATGTATTTTTAATGATAGGATACTAAACCCCATTGTTATGAAAGTATCTTATCTATTTGCAATACATTTTTCTGTTTATTCCTTTCTATATAATTAAATGCTATTTATTTATTTTGAATTTTTTTTAAAAAAATATATTTTATTGATTTTTTACAGAGAGGAAGGGAGAGAGATAGAGAGTCAGAAACATCAATGAGAGAGAAACATCGATCAGCTGCCTCCTGCACATCTCCTACTGGGGGTGTGCCCGCAACCCAGGTACATGCCCGTGACCGGAATCGAACCTGGGACCCTTCAGTCCGCAGGCCAACGCTCTACCACTGAGCCAAACCGGTTTCGGCTATTTTGAAATTTTTAAAAATAACTCTTTATTGTTGAAAGTATTACATATGTTCCTTCCCCCTTGACCCCCTCCAGCTATTAAGTGCTATTTTGTCATCCCGATGAGTTATGAATCCACATCATATTCTGAATCAGAGCACTCCAGAGAACGTCACATACATGTAGCTAGGAGGGAAAGGTGTCTGTGCTCAGTGTAGTCAAAGGTAGAATGAGTTTGAAGAAGCTAACCTCAAAAAGCTAACCCCCTTTATTAATTTTTAAATTAATTAGCAACAAATATATCCACTGTGCCTCATGACCATACAAAGATACATGCACTAAGGTTTGCTGCAATATTTTGAGATGGAAAACAAGACTGGAAGTCACCTGTCTACCAGCAGGTGGACTGAATGACAATACGACTGTGCAGGGGTGACATGTGGCGGCTGGCTGGACCTACGTGGGCTGCTGGGCCGCGGCGTGGAGGGTGGGTTGTGGGAGAAATGGCAGTGAAGGGCTCCTCAATAGCCTAGGCTGGGGTGGGCCTGGGCCCGAACGCTGGCACTGGGAAGAGAGGGGTGGGCACATGTGAGTGATTTGAGATTAAGATGGCAATGCAGCCTGGCCGGTGTGGCTCAGTGGTTGAGCATTGACCTATG